AAAAACATTTATTGAAAATCCAAATGCAAGATTGCAAAAAATCCTTTGGTTTAGAAAATCCCAAAAAATTACGAAAAGTTTAGTATTGGTCCAAACTATAGACGTGTAAACAAACTTTATCTGTAAATGCAACGCCTTAACTAATGGTCCATAGCCCAGTATTCCTGAGAATATGCAATGCATATCTATCACCAGTCAGCTGGGCAACCTGGCCACCTATAACTTCTTGGTGTCCTTTCTATATCTTGCATTTGTGAAATGTTAAATGCGTTGGTGTGGTAGGGTGATTTGTCAACGGCATGGCCATTTTATGAAAACTAAAGCAACAGCTGAGAGCGTTTACAATAAGGAGCAATAGTGTGGGAAATGGCTGAATATATTATAATGGCAATTTTTTTAATGAGACTTTAATGTCCTGGTCTTGGAGTGGGATTGACCCATTTTAAAGCAGGCGTTTATTTATTATTTGGGTCTTTAGGTAAAGTCACGTAGGTTCAAAGAAAGTAAAAAAATAACTACGACGTTTCGATCGCAACAAGCGGTCGTCATCAGGAAAAGGAGGGTTATCTACTAAAGACGACTGTTCATAAAAGTTTGAAATGAGCGTAGCCCAAATGTCAGCAGCCAATGTTAATGACTTTACCGACGACCCAAATAATATGAATTCCTGCAGTCGCGAAAGCTTTAAGTCAAGATTTCAGGCGTCTACTCTTTACGCATTTAACCAATCTTGTATAGATACATTGGATACCCAGCTTCTATTGCAAAAGAAGAACCATGCTGTTTTGCGGGGAGGTCTGAAGGTGGTTTAAAAATGTTTGCCCTAACCGGCCACCTACCTGCTCTCTCTCAACGCGTCTGTCCCACTACACAGGTGATGAAGCGATCAAGGTGATGGTGCTGACGCTGTCCGGAGTGGGCCTGCTTGTGGCTCTTATCATCACCCTGGTCATCGCTGTCTTCTGCCGCCGGCAACTGCAGCAGCAGCGCGTCGATGACAAAGCCTCGCCCGTGTTCATTGCCCTCGGCTCTTAAGGACGCCGCAAGACAACCGCCGTTCACTAGTAATGCGACTCGCTCGCTTTTTGCACATTTGGTGGCGTTACGTTTTACTTCGGTTGAACAAGTCATTTGACGTTAGGTTGAAGACTTGAGATAATCAAGTTTTGTCAAAGGTTACAGATTTACTGGGACTGCTCGACTCCCCCCAGAAGGTCCGAGCAGCCATCCGGTGGAAGCGAGCGACGTCCGTTGAGTGTCGGTTACGCCGGTTGTGCAACGCCATCCTTGAAATAAAAATAGTGGCATCTGCTCAGGTGTGGAATGTTTTTTTTATGTCTGGCGTGATGTCACCGTATCCAACAATGGTAGTGCAAGGGGTGCACATTTTACAGGAGCTTTAGAAGTAAATTGCCGAGGCAATGTGGTGAACGGTGCACATTTGTCAGCTGGTGGATGCCAAAGTGACGGAGGCGTGCTTGGAATTTCTCAGATTCCAAAGTAGCGTTTGGAATGAAATCGCGCACCTCCCTCGATTAGCGCGGTTGGCTATGTACTGTGACAAGTTCCACATACCCAGCTGGTTATGCTCTTGGCCAATGCGGTGACTAACCCCCCCACCCCCCTCGGCATTTTGACGATACATTTTTATATTTCAAATTATATTGTGGTACATAAAATCATTTCGAACCAGTTTGCTAAACGTATCTATTGGGCTATGCAACTACCAAACGCAGCGAAGTCTGTACCTGGGACAGTTATTGCTGGTGGGCTGGGATCAAAACTACAGACACGAGTAGGTTGGACGTGATAACGGACTAAGATGCCCAACGTGTATGTTGTGCAATGCCGGGTGAGCATGGAGAGCCCAACGTTCGAGATGGAGGACCTGCAGAAGGATTGATTACGAAGCAGACGCCTGTAAATGAACATTCCTGAACAAAAAGGACGAAGCCAGAGCGATGTGGCACGAGCGGGAGGAATAAGACGTAGCTTTTTTCAAATCCATAAAATATTAACCATGGGGGGGGGGGGATGGGGGGCGCGCTCGTTCATTGGAACCCCTCATTGAAACCTTTGTCCTGCAAATAAATTACTTTAAACCGTTTTGTCAACATTTTAATACTGTAAGCGGTTTTAAGTCTCGAAATCCATTCCTAAGCACGGGATTGCTGTGACACTCGTACGAGGGGTGGCTCTTTCATTGGTCAATTGCATTTAAACGTGTGAGGTGAAAGTGGGTCAGAGCAAATAAAAGCATTTAAAACTTAATTGAAGGGTACAAACTGAGTGACGGACTGAAACATGATGGAGAAACGCCAACAGACTAACAATGATAAAACAATGCTTGGAGTCAAAAGTGTAACTACAGGACGCATGGGGAAGTACAGATTCAATGTTTTTTGGGCAGGTTCACGTGGCTGCAGAATTAAACACCGTCTTTAAACACTGCTCAGCAGCTGGAGCGGGTTTACACCTGTGAATGTGTGGGCCCTTTCAACCAGGAATCATTAATGGCATATTACAGTATTAGAACGTGGGAATGCAATAACACCGCCGATTAGCACGGCTGGCTCCGTACGCTGCGAAAGACGTTCAACATGAAACACGTGTACCTTTGTCCACGTGCGTCGAAGCGAGTGTTGGGCAGCGCCCACCCACACACGTCCTGGATGATGATGAGGCCCCAAGTGGCTCCCCGTGAGCACAGTGCTGAGCCGCACCCAGGTGCGAGTCCACGTGTCCCGCTCGCGGCTCGCCCATGCTCCTGCTGTGGAGGAATCGCGTCTCCCAGCACGCAGGGGGCATGGCTTTGCCTCGCTTGCCACCTCGTGTCTCCCCGTCCTTGCCCGTGAGCTCGCAGAATCGTACAGGTGGCAACCGCTTTGGAGGGCGTTCCAATGACGTGCATCGTTGCCAACATCACTCGTAACAAAACTTTATATAATATACGCATATACCGTATTTTTTTCCGGATTATAATACGCACATGTGTATATATGTATGCTGAACTTCTTTAGCACCGTACGTATTGAACCGTGCGAATTGGAGGCGTGGATAAGGACAAACTAAACACAAAAAAGACTTATAAAGAACTGTTTGTTTGCCCCTGTATTTCACAGCAAACACTGCGTGCGTCTTATAATTCGGTAGGTATGTGTGTGTGTGTGACACCAACGTTGTGTGATTTCATTGGCACCGCTCGCAGGTTCGGGGTGCGCTTCACTTCCCGGTGCGTCTTATAATCCGGGAGAATTTGTCAATCCACGCGCAAGGGAACACGCGGATTCCCCCTCCTGATCTAGCGCGTGCATCAGCTGGCCGTGGACACAGCTCGGCAAGTAACCCAAGCGGCTCGCTGACGGCCCTGACAGCGGCTGAAATACAATCCCCTCCCCCCACCCCGAGAAGTCCCTCTCTCTCTCTCTCTGCCTCCAGAGGCACGAGGATCACGGGTTCGTCACCGTCGTTACGGGCGATGGGAATCGCCGGGGCGAGGCGAGGCCATGGACGGTGGACGCACGCACGGACTGACACGCGGACGATTGGACTGAAGCCGGTCTTGGGTTTTAACCACATTCGTTTCCATGCTCTGCGTTGAGCAGTGTCGCGCACAAGCGCGAACGACAATTAATACACACCGACTCTCAACGCGTTCGTCAATAAAAGTACCTTAAAAGGAAAAATAATCCACATTTCAAAAACCGTTGTCCCGAAACGTCGCCAAAATTATATATTTCCTTTGAAGGCAGTGTTAGTGACGAATGCGTTGTTTGTTGTAACTTTCGAACGATGTCACAGGGTTCTAATTGTTCGCTTCGCAACATACGGAGAGCCTCGGTAACTCTACCCACCCCCCCCCCCCGCATAAATCATCTGGCGGTCGCGGGAAAGACCTCCCCAGCCTCGTCTCCGTAGCCAGCAGCCGGCTTATTTACAGTGGAGAATTAAGACTCGGCGCGGAGACCTTGACCGATATTTTGTTTCATTTAACTATACATAGACAAGCTCGGGTTCCACCTGCTTCGCCTCCCACTTACCCGAGTGATACCTTCCCAACATCCCTGCACCACCCCTTCCCCTCCCCCCGACCTTTCTCTGAAGGGGCACAACGTGGCCCCCATTGTAAGGAACCCACATTTAAAGACGCCCCCCCCCCCGTCCGTTCCTCCAGCTCACAGCAGGGACCGCGCTTGGGATGCTGGGATGGACCCCTGCATCACCAAATGTCCCGTGGCCCATCCAAGTTCACATTCCTTAGCGGTGGTATTTCAGCAGGTGCGTGAACAAGCAATTGCCGGCATGCATTTACCATTGTAAACTTAACCTGCTAAACTATTTTTTTATTTCTCCAGGCAAGGCCCACTGAGCCTATATAGGTTTTTTTTTTCAGAAGCGACCTGGCCACAAATGATAACTCAACGAAGTGGCTTATGTGAAAACGTACAACATGCTTCTAAATCTGAAGGGAATAACCGGAGGACCCTGAGAAATATTCACACAACCACAAGGAGAACACGGAAACTCCATATACACAGCAGGCGTCAGGGTCGGGATCGAACCCACGACCTCCTGCATACCTAGCGAGGTAGTTAACATCTCGTAGCCACCCTTTTGGAGCCCGAAGGCCGAAGAAACTTTTCAAAAATATCCCGCAGTAACACCTTCCCGTAACCCAGTATCCGATTACTATTGATTACTACGGCTCACATTTGCCTCGAAAATACGACGCCTTTGTTTGCTTTACTCTCACTAACGCGTGTGTTGTTGTTGTTGTGTTCTTGTTGATATCGGGTCGTAGCTCCGATGTTAGACGCGCGGCCAAATCTGCTTGCAGTGCCGCATATGGTTTACGGCCGTTCCGTGGTGGCGACCTCATTCATGTGTGCGGAGTTTCGGGAGTCCGTTTCCTCCCACGTGCAACCAAACACCCATCCACGGAGCTGAACAAAACTGTCCCCAATTGCAGGACCGTCCTGAAACACACATTTGTTGAGAGGCGGCTTGCCGGGGAAAAAGGACACTGCAGTGTTATTGTTTTTAGACGTGACTACGTTAAAGTGACTACGGGTTTTCTCGTGTGCGTCGTAGACCCGAACGCAACTTATTTACGAAGAAGAAAAAAAACCCCATTCCTAACAAGGCTGTCAATTAGACGTAACGGGATTTAAAAGCACAACTCAAGCGACGGCGAATTGCACCGACCTGCCCAAGCCGCATGAAGCGCGTGGGCAGGTGAGAGCTGCCCCCACCGTCCTCGCGGCTAGGGGCAGACACGCGGCGCTGCCCCGAGCTATGCAAATGCGCGGCTGTAATTGGATCTGGTGCACGGGACATCTCCCGTTGCCACGTGTGCGACGTGCGGGAGACGCGTCCAACATTACGGCCTCGGCCACGTTCAGTGCGTTCATTTCCACGGCCACGGCCACTCACTGGAGCCGCAGTCGTGACGCATAGACCCGCGCACGCGCGTACCATCAGCCACGAAGACATAGACACACACACACGACCAAGTTCAGTGCATTCGTTGCCACGGCCACGGCCAAGGCCACTCACGGACCCATAGCTGTGACACACAGACCAACACGCGTACTCGCAGCCACACACACGGACACAGCGCCCCACGCACAGACCCCCAGCGGTGACACACACACACAGACACAGAGCCGCGCAGGATGAAGCGTGCCCTCCACAGTCGCCACGTCGCGAGTGAATGACACGAGGCGTCGATGGGGCTGCCCTAGACGACTTCCCCGTTGCAGGGGGACCGCTCTCCGCCGCATGGAGGCGACGGCGCCGCGCACGACACCCGGGGGACGACCTCGCCAAGCGCCGAGGGACTCTCTGCTCCCTGCCGAAGAATCCACGGCCCTTTGGTCAAGGATCAGGAGCCGAGGGCTCACGCAGCCCAGGCGGCGACAAAAGCTCCCCACGGCGGCGGCGTCTGGGCCCCCCGGGGACTCGATGGGATGGAACGAGAGCGCGGAGCCTCGCAGTGACGGTGCGTCACGGTACAGGGGTCTGAGTTTACCGCAGAGGGTTATAGGAACCAGCGACCTAAGCGAGGGGATCATTGGATATTGCTTAGGTCAGAAGTGTTCAATGCGTTCGTGCGGTGTATTGTTATCATTGTTGTCCGTTTTGTCATCGTCGTAATTATGATCGTAAAAATGTAGGGCATATAAGATGCATTGTCATCATTCAATCCTTCAAAAAATATAAGGCGTATGTGATGAAGACTACAAACCATCATTATCAAATGTACGACCAGTGTGATGCATCGTCGTCATCATCAAATGTGTGATGCATCCTAATGAATCCAACATCATTATAAGCATTTGGAGAAGTTTGTTCCAGATGAAACTTTTCAAACTCAAGAGAGACGTCTCGCGTTGGCAATGGCCGATGAAGGGAGAACTTTGAAACCGCGGTAATCGTTGGTAGGGAGGATGACTTCTCGTGTTGTGTAAAAAGACGAGAGAGAGAGAGAGAGCACGGCGTCATCATCAATGTCTTCTTCTTTGGTTCTTTCGGTAAAGTCACGTTGAATGAGAATAAAATAAATTAATAAAATAAAATAACCCAATAAAATTCTCACGACGTTTCGGCCACAACACAAGTGTCCTTCATCAGGTGAAGGGACGAGACTGTCTCGAGGACAGCGCTGGAGCGAACACAGCAAAGCTCAGACGAAACGTCGTGAGAATTTTATTGTGTTATTTATTTTATTAATTTATTATTTTATTCTCATTCTACGTGACTTTACCGAAATAACCAAAGAAGATGAATCCTTACAGTCACGAAAGCTTTAAATCGAACATCAATGTCTTGTATCAAATCCAGGGTTTTGGTCACATTTAGACTACCAAAAAGATCCGAATAGATTATTTGTCTCATGACTTGACGCCGATGGAATTGGGATACAATTTTGGGGAAAATACAGAACTACAAATATAATGAATTGCTGTACTACAATTTCTGGCCAACCCAAAGCCTTAGCCAGGCTCAACTACGCTTATCATCCGAGATCGGATGAATTCAGGACATGGTCGTACAGTCGCGACTACCGCAGTCCCTTACTTTCAATCAATACTTAAATTCATATTTTTTGGGTATTTCTGTAAAGCCACGTAGCTTTACCGAAAGACGTGGCTTTACCGAAAGAATATTAATTCCTGCAGTCACGAAAGCTTTAAGTCAAGATTTAATACTTAAATTCCACTTTATTTCATATATGTGTGCAGTTGATTGACAATAGTAACCCAATAATCCTTCACAAAGCACCAACAAAGAACCCCCTTCACTCCACAAATCATTCATCATTGACGTTCGCTTGCCACGAACAACATTTTAAAGAGGTTCCCTCTGTATTTTTGAAGCCACTGGCTCATTCAGATGCCCCCCAAAAGAGTCGACATTGTCCTGCTCCGCAAGCATGAAAGGGCGAGTGGTGAGCTATGAATATTCATAGGGTGAACACACGATGCATTGTGCACCCAGAGGAGGACAAACGAGAATCAGCAATGATGCAACGTGATGGGAACTCCACCATCGTTACACACTCTCCGTCGACCGTTCGATGAATGATTTATATCTGTACTATGCCACTGTCTCTGTGCCCGGTATTCGTGTGCCGCTGTGTATTTGAAGATCCCGTCATCACAACATTATCAGCGTTGTTGAAGGTAGAATAATAATTCCACGATATTTGTCCCAAATGTCGTGGGCATTTTCTCTTAGCCATGGCTAAACCTGTCGGGGGATCCAGCCACTCACTACACCCACATAGGCTGCAAACCCTGTGTACAACACCAATTCACACGACGACCAAATACAACAGACAGAATTAACGAATGAACGACTGAATGGACCAGCTGTGCTACAGTTCCTCGTCCATCACGGCACCCCCCACACCTCGCACCCCTTCCCCCCGTGTCTGCAGCGGAGAGCGGGGAGGAAGGAGGCGAAGCTCAGGCGGCCGAGCTGAGCCTCACCCTGGACAGACTCGGCCACGGCCCCATGGGATTCAGCGTCCGCGGTGGGGCCGAGCACGGGCTGGGCATCTACGTGAGCCGCGTGGAGGACGGCAGCCAGGCGGGTGCGTACGTTGGGTGGTGATGGGTGGGGGGGTGATGGGTGGGGGGGTGATGGGTGGGGGGTGATGAGTGGTGGTGGGTGGTGGGTAGGTGACGATTCCCATCTGTGACCATTAACATTCCTGTCCACTGACCACGATGAATCTTCTTCGAACTTATTATTTCCTATGGATTAATTTACAGCAGATTAACGATGCAACTCCAGATGTTGTTTATGAAACCTTTCTTGACAGCATTAAAATATAACAATAGGGTTTTTTTTCTTCCCAGAAAGGGTAAAATCTATTGTTAAACTTTAGCTGTTATCCACTCAATTGTCTGTTCAGAAGCGGAGTGGATCTCTTCCATTCCTCCTTTAAAGGAGTGAAAGCGGCAGCGGCGGGGGAGTGTTTAGGATTCCCGTCGATGGTTTGGGATTCGCGGCCGCACCGTTCGCACCGCTCGCAGGCCACGTGGCCGATCCACGCATCGGCCACGGGGCCACTTGGCCCCGGTCCCAATTCCGTCGATGGTCGACCATTGGCGGCGTGGAAGGTTGAAACCGGGGGAGGTTCGACGGTAGGGGTCGCTGTTCGAACTCTCCCGCACGCATACAATAACAGACTGTGGGGGCAAGTGCTCTTTAGCGAGCACATATGAAGGCAGCCACTGCGCACGAAGGTGTGAGGTGACCAGCGCCACGGCCGGTCGCCTTTGTCTCCCCAGTTGCGACGTTTACGCATCGCACCAGGTACTCATTTGAGTCTGAGTCGACCTAGGGGAGGCCCCAGGACCTGTGTTGGCCGTGAGCGGCAATCGAACTCGGGTTGCCGGGTTAGTAGGGCAGCGCGCTTACCGTTGCATTATCGTTCCCCACGTACAATTGGAGTTATGCAAACCATCGACATATCTCCGAAGTCTCACTCACAGGCACTGCGTCCACCGCTGTGGATACGCCTGTTCATCTACCGCATTGGACCTTGACATACTTTATATTCTTTGGTTCTTTCGGTAAAGTCACGTAGATAGAAAAAATAAGACATTTTTTAAATACAAATTTTTAATTATAATTTTTTTCTATTATAATTTTTGCTAACTACGTCACTTTACCGAAAAAAACAAATAATATGAATTCCTGCTGTCACGAAAGTTTTAAGTCAAAATTTGACATAACTTTGACACACATTCAGTCCATCAACTGTCCTGTCCTTGCAGCACAATTAACTTTCGAATTCTTCCCCACATCCCACTCCACACACACACTGCGTACGCGATACACAATCGCCAACGCACAATATTCCTCCACCACAGTGTCCCCTCTTATAATTCACGCACAATGCGTCCACCCCCATCCAATTGCGTCCACCCCACTCCTATACCGCGCGTCCTTGTTCCCATCACCCCCCCGTGCCCTGTCCCGTCCCCTGCAACCCCACGACGGCCCTTTGCGCCACCACGCCGGCACCCCTTATGCCCCCCCCCTGCCCCCGCAGCCCAGCAGGGCATGTGCGTGGGAGACCGGATCGTGGCCGTGAACGGCCTGAGCGTGGAGAGCGTGACCCTTGCCGCGGCCGTGTCGGTCATCACGAGCGGCGCGGGTCGCCTGCGCGTCACCGTGCGCCGCGTGGGCCGCGTGCCGGGATTCAAGCGCTCGAGCGAGAAGATCTCGTGGTGAGCGAGACGCGCGCACCCATTGCACCAAGACCGTAGCCATGGAGTCAACATTGGGGGGACCACATCTTCCAGGGTGTCTGGGGGTCCCAACCCAGAAAAAATATATACATTTTAAAACTAATTTCTTGCCTAAAACATTTAAAAATTCACTAACACATGGGATGGACTTTTTTGACAATAATGTCTAATAGTGTATTGTATTACATTGCTATGTTTTTTTCTTTTTTTTTACCTTTTCTTGTTTCATTGTATGTAATGGCAGAGATTAGGGATTAATAAAGTACAACCATAACCACAATCATATAGCCAGAAATCTATGCATTGATTTATATGAAGACAAGTCCAGATATTGTGGCCAAGGTTTAGCAAAGTGTTATTTTTATTTAAATAGCATAGCAATTATTTTTTATAGCAAAATATTGGGGGGGGGGGGGGGATTTTTTAAATATTTGAATATTTGGGGGGATGTGTGTCCCCCAATATATATTATAATTACGGCCTTGCATTGCACGCACGCGTGCTGACAGTGGCGTTGGATGTCGAGTGCACGCGCAAGCTGGTGCAACTGCACCCGTGGCACCGGGGGGCCAGAGGGGACAAAGCGAGGAGCCAGGATACGGAGATAAGGGGAGGGGGGATTTGTCAGCCCCCCCCCCCGCCCCACCGTTTAATTCCTTGCACCAGAGATTATGCCCGACCCAAGCTGCCGTCCATGGGTGTTAGTATGACAGTAAAACATGCTATTATTTAAAAGCTGTGGGTCTCTGTATGAGCCTGTGGGACTCTGTGCGAGTATGTGGGGTCTCTGTGCGAGTCTGTGGGGTCTCTGTGCGAGTCTGTGGGGCTCTGTGCGAGTCTGTGGGATCTCTGTGCGAGTCTGTGGGGTCTCTGTGCGAGTCTGTGGGGTCTCTGTGCGAGTCTGTGGGGCTCTGTGCGAGTCTGTGGGGCTCTGTGCGAGTCTGTGGGGCTCTGTGCGAGTCTGTGGGGTCTCTGTGCGAGTCTGTGGGTCTCTGTGAGGAGTCTGTGGGGTCTCTGTGCGAGTCTGTGGGGCTCTGTGCGAGTCTGTGGGGTCTCTGTGCGAGTCTGTGGGTCTCTGTGAGGAGTCTGTGGGGTCTCTGTGCGAGTCTGTGGGGCTCTGTGCGAGTCTGTGGGGTCTCTGTGCGAGTCTGTGGGGCTCTGTGCGAGTCTGTGGGGTCTCTGTGCGAGTCTGTGGGGCTCTGTGCGAGTCTGTGGGGTCTCTGTGCGAGTCTGTGGGGTCTCTGTATGAGTCTGTGGGGTCTCTGTGCGAGTCTGTGGGGCTCTGTGTGAGTCTGTGAGGCTCTGTGCGAGTCTGTGGGGCTTTGTGTGAGTCTGTGGGATCTCTGTATGAGTCTGTGGGATCTCTGTGCGAGTCTGTGGGATCTCTGTGCGAGTCTGTGGGGTCTCTGTGCGAGTCTGTGGGGGCTCTGTGAGAGTCTGTGGGGCTCTGTGCGAGTCTGTGGGTCTCTGTGCGAGTCTGTGAGTCTCTGTGCGAGTCTGTGGGGTCTCTGTGCGAGTCTGTGGGTCTCTGCGCGAGTCTGTGGGTCTCTGTGCATGTCTGTGGGGCTCTGTGCGAGTCTGTGGGGTCTCTGTGCGAATCTGTGGGGCTCTGTGGCAGTCTGTGTGGTCTCTGTGCGAGTCTGTGGGGTCTCTGTGCGAGTCTGTGGGTCTCTGTGCGAGTCTGTAGGGCTCTGTGCGAGTCGGTGGGGCTCTGTGCGAGCCTGTGGGGTCTCTGTGCGAGTCTGTGGGGTCTCTGTGCGAGTCTGCGGGGCTCTGTGCGAGTCTGTGGGGCTCTGTGCGAGTCTCTGGGGCTCTGTGTGAACTGGTGTCCATCGTGAGTGATCTTTGAGGGCACGAGTCGGATTGTGCCCGAAAGTCAGCAGCTGAACTGGGGTCGAATTGGCGACTCGGTGGTTCGCGCATTGCGTTAGGGAACTCCAGAGCAGTTCGATTACATGCCTCAACTAACGCCAGTGGCGAATGATATATCTCAACCGCCTTCAAACAAGCCGCATTGCCGAGCAAAGTGAAGTATGGTCAACAAAATCTGCCACCACGACCACAGTGTTGGGAGGCCTTCATCCAGCAGTGGATTTACAAACGGCTGTATAGTACAATAGTAATGCCGGAATTCATGTCTGACTCGCGGGGCTCGCTGGGAGGCGAAGGGATGGCACCTGGGTGTATTTACTGGACTGGTGTTGCACGGATGCACGCACAGGTGTACATAACAGCGTATTTGTACAAATTGGGCCGCCCTGCGTCCTCTTGTTTTGCTAATATTTGTTTGAGTGTATATATATTTTTTTACAGATATGTCATTATGTAACATATTATATTGAGCCCGCACGGTAATTTTGTTCCCCAAGTTGAGAATATTTTAGACGAGCTTCAGATGAAACGAGGAGCCATCGCGAGCAAACGACGAGTCGTCCCTACTCTTGAACACGTGGATTTAGTCATCCACTGGCACGAGAAGATTTCACAGTGAAATTATCAACATAGTCTTACATTTCAAACTCGACTTTGAGAACGCATTTCAACACGTTTGTAATCCCTCCTGTTGTGAATCTGGTTCACAATGACAAATATTGATCCACTACTTTACTTCGAGGCTTTTCTTTTTAACTTGAAAAACCCGCCGGGTTAGTTCTATCGTCATGAGCTCCGCCCGGGCGGGATGAGTTTAATTGACGGAGTCGATTACCTCCAGTTTCGAGTAATCAAGAAAGCTGGCCCAATGATAAACAACAAAAGAAAACCGTCCCTTGGTTTGGACCAATCAGTTTCAAGGACAATGCATCATATATTATCATAGTATGTTTTTTGTTTGCATTTTGACTGCAGGTATTGTGGTTAATGAAGACATGAATCCTTATAAAAAGGTTTCAGTTTTGTTGCCAGAAAAAAGGGGAAAACCCCTATTATTATATTTTGGTACTGGCAAAGGAGGTCTAATGATGTAGATGCTCACCCCGAGCCCTCATTACTTTGATAGTGCATTGTCTTTGAGCTGTACGCCTTTTGGCATCATCTGGTCGAGCACCAATTGGGTCGAGGCTCAAAAGAAAGCCGACACTTGGTGTGGACCAATTAGTTTCAAGGACAATGCATATATTATCATAGTGTGTTTTTTGTTTGCATTTTTACTGCAGGTATTGTGGTTAATGCAGACATGAATCCTCGTGAAAAAGGTTTCAGTTTTGTTGCCAGAAAAAAAAGGGGGGAAACCCTATTATAATACAGGAACCTCTCGGTTATAAGTAAGACGCACCCCACATTTGTGCCCGGTGTCAATAAAGCTTCTGAATGCAACATCTCAAAAGACATCATCTAAATTGGGCAGACATGCACATCCAAAGAGTTAACAGTGCTTTTATTCATTCGACCCTGGAATGAGGGGTGAAGTTCAACTGCATAGAAAGGGTATTGAGAAAATATCATGGTATAAGTGTGACTGAAGACACTTAATATGTACGTTTTGTTGAAATTATTTCGCACCGTAGGTAGCCATCTGTGCTGATAGAGCGAGACATGCCAATTCGTCACTAGTGCAGCACACCGGTGTGTTGGAGAGCCAAGCCACACAACATTTACAATCTGAGTACGACATTTCGCCAGTAATTACAACTAGCTTCATCAGGCGGCAGCCACGCGGATGAGGACATTGATTGTCTTGTGCTTGGACTTGATAAGGCAGAGGGTTTCAGCAATATTCAGCAATATTTTTTTTTTCAAAAACACAGTAAACAGTGGCATAGCGAGTTTCCGTATGGGCCCTGTTTCAAGGGATGACCTACAGCCTCCACCCCCTCTCTGTCTGCCTTCTTCTCCCGTACGTATGTATGTAGAACTCCTATCGCACCGTACATAGCCAACCGCGCTCCCTCTTCATAGCCTGGCACCTGAGCTCCTACAAACCAAGTGGGCCACGACGCAGTTGCACCGCCTGCACACTCGATGGCCACTCCACACTGCAGGGCACAACACCTCCGCCGCCTGTGTGTTGCCGTGCCCGCGCAGGGTCGATGTTGCAGCCAGACACCTTGTGAACGGGGCGGCCCCTCGGGACCGAGTCGTCCACCTCCGCCTCTCGCCAGAGGACCCGTGTCTGGGTCTCAACGTCCGCGGTGGCAGCGAGTTTGGCCTGGGCATCTACGTGTCAAGGTGCGCGCACAAACACACACACACGGATCGCCACGGCTATGGCGATCCGTGTGATTGTGATGCTTGTATGTTGAACTTCTTTCGCGCCGTGCGTTGCCAACCGTGATAATCGGAGGTGTCAGGGAAAGGACAACAAGCTAAATGCAATAAAGCAATTCTAAAGAAATACATTTTCAATCTAGGTTTAAAAGCGCATAGCTCCAGTGGCTTCCTAATATCGGGCGGAAGAGCGTTCCAGACGGCTGCAGAAGTGTAATGCAGTGACCGTCTTGGCTCGCATAGTTGAACTTTTTCCATTTCCTTTGTTCAATTTGTCGTTGTCTCTGTCTCATTTGCAGTTTTGTTCGGCATTTTAGTAATGTTAACCTGTCAGTTTGCATACACTCGTTAATAATCATTTATCATGTTCACACAGAGGCCCGTAAGAATCAATGTGTATCGATGCATTATCACGCTGCTAACATCTCACACGGTGGCGAGATGTTAACTACCTCGCCTGGTATACAGGAGGTCGTGGGTTCGATTCCAACCCTGACGACAGCTGTATAATTGGAGTTTTCATCTTCTCCGGGTCCTACGGTTTTCCCTCCACATTTAGGAACATGCGTCTGGAATATTTGGCCGCTGTACATTCCCACATGATAAGCCACTTCGTTGAGCTATCATTTGTGTCCAGGTCACTTCTGAAAAAGAGCTTAACAGCAGCACAGCAGCGAGGCCTTACCTGGTAAAACAAAAGTTTAGTTTTAGTTTAAACGAACACCCCCCCCCCACCCACGCCCCCTCTCCCCTTTCCTCGGCCGGCCCAGGGTGGACACCGGCGGAGTGGCCGAGAGAAGCGGAATCAGGATCGGTCATCGGATCGTCGCTGCGAATGGCGTCAACTTCGAGGGCGTGTCGCACGCGCACGCGGTGGAGACGTTGAGGCAGCACGAGCACGTCATCCTCACCATCCGGGTGAGGGCCTCCACGATGGCACGGCGGTGAGAGCGTGGAGCCCCTCACCATCCGGGTGGTGAGGGGCTCCACACGCTAATCCGCCGTGCCATCACAGCCTGCACTGCCTCATCGGCGGTGAGCGCGTGGAGCCCCTCACCATCCGGGTGGTGAGGGGCTCCACGCGCTCACCGCCGTGCCATCACAGCCTGCACTGCCCCATCGGCAGCGGTGTTAAAAAAAAAAGATAATGTATTAATAGATCACGACGTATCGATCGCAACACAAGCAATCGTCATCAGGTGAGACAAGCACAGCAGGAGAGCTGCTGAGGCAGGACTGCTGCCTCAGCAGTTCTGCCGTCGTGAGAATTTTATTGTTTTATATTTTTATTATTTTATTGTTTCCCTTCTACGTGACTTTACCGAAAGAACCAAGAATATGAATCCATGCAGTCACGAAAGCTTTAAATGAAAACAAAATTAATTGTTATAAAGTGCATTTGCGACATTTGTCGCCTCAGTCAAGGAGATACAAATTACGAATTAGCGAGAAACTTAATTTTTACAGTACACGTTACATTACGTTACATTATCATACGTTATATCACACTTTGTTTTAGATTATACTTTATTATATACATTTGATGAATTATTATTTGCACACTTCCGATTAGCACGGTTGGCTATATACGGTGCAAAAAAAGTTCAACGTTGTTCAAGAATCATACCTCATCATCGGGCTATGTCTCAAATGTTCAGTACTGTAACTACAGTTCAATCACACTGCATTCCCAGGATATGTGCCAAATCTTTGGTTTAATCACACTGCACTACAATCACACTGCACTACAATCACACCGCACTACAATCACACTGCACTACAATCACACTACACTACAATCACACTGCACTACAATCACACTGCACTACAATCACACTGCACTACAATCACACTACACTACAATCACACTGCACTACAATCACACTGCACTACATTGTCAGGCTGTGTCAAATCTTCGGTAATTCTATCAACAAGATCAGGTGCTGCATTAATGGAATCATTCTCTGGATTTCCATCAAGTATGAAAGTACCAGTGGTGTATCTTACCATTTTCTCAAGTCAGAATGTATTCCCTTTAATGGCCACTACCCGTGCTGTTTACTGATATTTTCAATTTCGTGAGGGTAGTTTATTCTTGATTGGAAGTGTCTTTAAATGAATGCAATGTATCCTGTGCAGCTTAGTTTGGATTCCAAATGCTTTTTAAAAAATGATGTGTACATTTGTATCTTATTCACTTGCAGAATGTTTTGTTCGAGTGGGTGCATATAATTGTTGTTCGTCCTATAATTTGTCCCAAAAATTTTTAAATGAATAAATAGCTCTTCTTAGAATTAAAAGTTGAACAGGAAATCCAGTAATATCCTTTGTAATACATGGCTCAGGTGAAGCCAAATCATGGCATTGCTTTTGCATACAAGTGTAACTTTATTGCCAAATGGAACTCTTTCGTGAGTGTTGTGTTCAGTTCATAGTGGACATATTTTTCTACAACTCCACTGTTGGATTTTCTAGGAGGTTGGCCGTTACCCAGCATTCCAGGAGCTCGTTGAAGAATACAGCTGGCTCAACAAGGGTGAGTTCCTTTTGGCGATGACGCTAAACACACCACAGCGGGCAGATATACCGTGGCTCAGCCAGCCGTGAGGATTGAGACGATCTTCCCTGGTGGAGCTGCGTCCGAGTGCCATCTATTAAAAGTGAGAAGCTCCCCCCCCCGTGTCCTGCAACTCACACATCCATCTCTACATTATTAGGTCCGGATCATTATACGCAAAGTGCTTTTCACAAATGAATCACAATACCTAGTTTAACTCCTCAAGGAGCATAAACCATCGCGCAAACTCCGGTCATCCTCGCAGCAGCGGCTTTTGGCTAGCCATCGAGCAAAGACGGTCACTGCATCGCTCGCAGATACACTTCTTGCGGCCATGTGGAACACTCTTCCTTCCGATATTAGCAAGCCACGCGGAGATATGTACTTTAACATTTAGATTGTTAACTCATTTCTTGATAACTGCTTTTTGTGTCTAGTTTGTTGTCATTCCCCCACACTGCCGATTAGCACGGTTGGCTACGTACGGCGAGAAAGAAGTTCATCATACATGCACACTTGAAAGTCATTCCGCAAAACACACAATAATTACTTACAGGCTCTTTGTCAATCCACCGGTGGATGAAGGCTTTCTCAGACTGTGTCCATCATGGGGGTTGCTTGTCCATACCTTACCACGCTCGTCAGTGTGGTTTGCTGCAGGGGTACGACCGGGACCGGTTCAGACATCGCTCGCCGCTCGCGTTAGCCGTGGCCGGAAATTAAACTCTGCTCTACGGTTCATAGCGCAGGGTGCTAACCACTGCACCGCTGCACTACTACTCCACTCACACTCGTGTTAACTGAATTAATGTACCAGTACTGCTTCTGCTACAGATGGAGATCTGGCGTTTGGTGTGTGACCCTTCCTTGATCGTTGCAGTCAATGTCCACGTGTCTCCACCAAACGCTGCTGCTGCTGCTACTACAATGGGCTCAGCCTTGCCCAATGGGCTCCTGCCGAGCTACCAGCTCTCACCTCCTCCCCCCGAGCAGCACTCGAGAGCTTTCCACGATGACCCCTTGGCCTCGAGTGACAGCGACGCTCTGAGCACGCGGAGAGAAGCCTACGTACAGACAGACCTGGACCAGCATCGCCCGGACGGAGAGCCTCAGTCGTCCGACGGAGAAGGTACAGATCATCTCTATGGCAACATTAATGAACGCCCTCCTTCTTTTGAAAAACCTTCAACCAAGTGAACCTCGCCTCACAAACCAGTTTCAGATTTTTTTTTACACATCACTTCAATCTGCATTATAAGAAGCGTCTCGTCTGCCCCGCGAGTCTGTCTGTCAGTCACAGAAGTTCGTTGAGAATGTTTTTGTTGTTGTACAGATTCAAGTAAGTGCACATTCTGATCGGAAGGAACCAAACAACGATGGTAGTGATGATAATCTTGCACGACATGTGACTTGCGAGCTCGGTAAAAAAAAAATCAGTTGCCGAAAATGTTCACAATTCCCACCTCATTGGGTTTTAAGATGACTTATTTGCAATGGCACTTTCATTTTATTAGGGCACCATGATAAGCTCAATTGTGAGCGGGTGCTGTAAGACAAATTCCTTATGAGGATTCATGTCTCTCACGTAATTCTGCTGTATTGAGGGAAAGCAATTGCAACCAAACTATCAAAGGTAATGGATATATTTCAGCTCATAGTATGGTATTTAATATTCCCTTGGCCAAACCCGCTGGATCAATGAACATGCAACATCGAGGGATGTTGTTGAAATAATGTCGTGCTGACTAGACGTGACGTAAACATGCCTCTCTGCTTAGATCACAAAAAATACCTCTGCTTAGCTGAATAGCACATTACCGCAGTGTTATAATATAAACAAATATACCATACAATTCGATTTGAGACAGGATATACATATTGATTCTGTTTTGGGGTAAGTCACGTGATGCATCCTGTTTTCCAGTACCGTGCTGAACACCCACTCTAGACACTAAACATTTCTAACTTGTGTAAAGTGATGTAATATTATATTGCCCTTGGCCAGGATAGCCTCACCCAATCTCAAGACACTTTTTCAAGAAGCTCCTGCTTTTTTTGGGAACTTTAGACACTTACATTAGCGAGCCTTTGGCTTCTTGCGGGAGGAGAATCGAGAACCCAGTTAAACGACGTGGGAACACCGAGCGCTCCACGCAGATATATTTATGGATCCGTTGCTCTACTTCCATCTCCCGGCCACCTCGTAATCCAAGCGAACAGCACCCAGAATTCCCAGGCAATCTCCCATCACAGTACTTGTGTCGTTGGTCTGGAGACCGGGAGATCGACGAGCGATGTTCGGTCAGTCACTGCGTTGACAGCATGCGTCGTGATTTCTCACTTGACGGAGTGGGCGGCGGTGAAGACTGCCATCTTCCACTCCATTAAAGTACTAACCAGTCAAAACATTTTGTGTGGCTTCAGAGATCTGTCGAGATTGGGCACATCTATGGTGATACACGGTCAGTAGAGCACGCACATAAGACTGTGACGGCCACAAACGTTGGGCCCCTGGCTTGCGGCGCGCCAGACGCCGTGGTGAGGCTGTCCGAGACGTCCCGGGACATCTTGCTGGTGAGGCCGCGCACGTTTTCTGGCGGCACGGGGGAGGCCCCCCAGCCCAAGTCGACCTTCTCTGCCAAGACGGCCTTGCTGACGGCCCTCAGCTGGCCGCGCCGGCCAGCCCGGAGGTCGCAGAGCTCCAGGACACTCACAGGTTGGCGTGGGGTTTCCGTGGCCCAACGATGGCCCCCTTTACACGACAAGCACCGTGCGCCGATGAGACGCCGCCGCCACGTTACATCGGTGGACGCGGCGGTTAACTCAGCGCTCTGTGAAACCGCTGCCATGCGATTGATGAATTATACGCGTGTCGGTTGCACGAGCCTAAAATTTTAATTTGTGCCCACGATTCATGCATCGTGAGCGATACTGTAGATTGTGTGGCAAATATACAATTATTTGTACAACCAAAATTGTGACGCTAAATTGTAAGCGTTGATCGAATTTTGGTGGGAGTAAATCATTACTGCCCCACAGCATGAAAAGATACAAAGCTTATAAAACCGTAATTTCTTTACATTACTATTTGTGTAGAAATTGAAGAAAATAGGAATTATGGATTTTCCAATTAGCAAATCTAGTTACGTATATGAGGTGATACCAATACATCGCTGAGAAAATAACCCATTACATTGTGGCGGTAAAGTATGGTCAAACAATTCGCTTATCTATTTCTTTATTTCTTCTTGAGACACATTGGTATGTTACTTTTTAATTCTAGATTTAAAGCTTTCGTGACTGCAAGGATCCATACTCTTTGGTTCTATTCGCTGTCCTTGAGACAGCCTGATCACTTCACCTGATGAAGGCCGCTTGTGTTGTGGCCGAAACGTCGTGATTTTTGTTGTTTTATTTTTTACCTACGTGACTTTACCGAATAGAACCAAAGAGTATGTTACTTTTTATTATTTAAGTTTAGTTTTCAAACACCAAACCAACCTGCTGTCATCCACCTAAAGTACAGAGATGGAGCGATGAAATCAGTTTGCGTGCAGATGCTAGATGGATTGAAGCTTACCGATTCTCTATCGCCCATCATCTTCCCTCACCCCTCCACTCCTTCCTATCCCTCCCCTATCCTTTTATTTTATCCCAAGTACCGTCTATCGTGGTCACTCATTCCTCAAACCTTGCACGCCTCTGCCATCTAAATCATTCTACTCTGTCACCTTTGTTTTAAACGCATGTCAAGCGCCTTGAGTGAAGGCGCTCTACAAATATAAAATTAGATTAGATTAGGTTGCATCACAAGACCATTGAGAGATTGTGAAAGCTTGGTAAGGCCTTCATCCAGCAGTAGTTGGATCATGACCGATGATTGATATGATGATCTCTTTATTTGGATACCTGGCCAGGTTTATATTAGCCTTTCCATTCCATATATATATTTACGAGCTGTAAGAAAGAAAATGATCTAACTTTGAAAGTACAGTCTGGAGCGGGGATTACCGCATGACAGCACAGGAGACGGATGCGTTTTTGCTGACGGGGACAGCAGCGATGGTAGCAACGCAGCCTTCTCATGCCCCAGGCAGCAGAGGCCACACTGCTGTGGAGAGATGGACATGCATGGGAGGAAGTGGGGAGAGTCACCAGGGCCAGATTTATTGCGAAGAGACTTTAAGGGTCAAGAGCGATTTGTTAAACTTATGCCAAGTTGAATGAAACTGATACGGAGACTGGAGGGGTGACGCCTCTGTCGGTTGGCGTGATATTCACGGACAGGGATCTCCTTAAGCCAGGTCCCGTCATAACTCCAGCCATGAGTAAGACGACAGACAAAAGGTGATTTATGGACAGCTAAATAAACTCATGTGACTGTAAGCCTGGCCTTTGCATGTCACGTGATATCACCATTCTGCGTATATATAAAGCACACAGCCTCGTGTTAGACCACTGAAACAATGTGGCCACAATATTGTTGTAAACTACCAAGATTCAAAATTGTCACAAGAGGGCCCGTCTGCTATTTAGAATTCACCTCCGTATGTATTTTTATTCTTATGTTATGAGCCTGTACACGCACTTTTCTGTCGATGAGTTTCTCATAATTTATAGAAAGTGTTAGTCAAGTCCTTATGTCCCACCAAAGTGAAAATTAAATGTTGCATCAATCGTCAGCGGTATACAATGTGTAACTATTTGCATTTGGATGTAGAAGCCAAACCAGGCTACTGGAAGCTCCTGCATTGATTTAATAGTTTAAAATTATATTTGAGTCATTTTGTCAATCCAATGGTGGATTAAGGCCAGCACACGTGGTGTCAGCCATGGGGTTGTTGAACCATCCAGCCTTTCCTCATACTGGTCAATGCAGGTTGGTAAAGGTGGGGTTCCAGGCTGCATTAGTTATCACTCGCCACTGACGTTAGCCGTGGTTGGGAATCAAACTAAGGTTGCCCCGTTCCAAGCTCAGTGCATTCACCTCTGCTCCACCCCTTCACCGAGTGCTAATGTACATCAGGCGTATGAAGTAAAATTACTTGTCAATAGTATGAAGTTTTAAATATACCTGCAATACCTCTTTTATAGTACAGTATTTAAAAATTTGGATAACAAATCTCACCGGAAATTTGGCGATGCTAATCCATTGCCTAGAACACGTATTTCCCTAGTTTGAGCAAAGGTGACCTGCCAACCCTGTGATGTGTATGCTACAATTTGTCTGCAGCGACTGAAAAGGCTCACCACACATCGCCCCAATTGCACTGCCACACATAAAAGCTTTGTGCGCCACCAAAATTAACAGACGGACAAGGGTCTTGTGTTCTCTCCGCGTAAACACGACGCAACATTTCAGCCGGAGTCCCTTGCGGACCAACGTCTTGGCCACCACGGGCCCATCGTCCGCTTTTGACCCCACATGCCGCCGGGGAGGGAGGCCGCTGCCATCGCCACGCTGTGCATTAAGAATGGAGCTCTTTGTTCTTCCTAGAGGAGGAGACAGATGAGAAGGTGAAGAAGAAAGTCAAGAAGAAGCTGACGTGGGTGAAGAAGCAGCCGGGCACGACGAGGTCGCGCCCCGTCATGAACCTGTTCCGCGGAGGCCGCGCGAGCCCCTTGGCGGCGGTGGCCCCACGCGACGAAGGGCCCTCCGCGGGCGACGGGCGACCGCCCTCTCACGCCGCGCCACGGCCCCCGTACCCCGGGACGGCGGCTCCCGGCTACCCGGACAAGGACGGAGATTTGGCCCACGCGGAGGGGTCTGCTGGCGGTGAGTCGATTCGATTTTGTTATTTCAACGTTTTTCACTTTGGGATTTTGTCGCGGGTTAACGCTGCAAAGGTTGCACGTGCAGTTTTATGTTCGCTTCTAATGTGAAGGAGGTCCATTGCCCGAAACATCGCAATGTCCGTTCGCCTTTTGGGGTCGTGTTATTGAGGAACGTGTCGGTTTTGTGTTGTTAGTGCCTGTGCACCACTGCCAACGTGGATCACGTTTTTTTTGTGATTCTAATGGCATTTTTGAGGAAATATAATATTGAACGCATGTGTATATAACCAGATTTTCTATATGTATTCGTCTAGAGTTCAATGTACAAAAACAATTGTGAAATGAGTATTGTGTTAATAATTAATGAAATTGGAAATCATTTTGTCAGGGCTTAGGTAATCCCAAGGTCGATGTCTCAATATCACGTAACAATTTTCATTTTTTTATTTCTGTAAATAATATTTAAGTAATACATGACGTGTTTTTGTTGTATCTTTACAGCATCATCACCGAGACCAAGATTTGTTATTCGTCCTTCAAAAAGTAATTCATTCCAAATGGTTGCCATCACTTAATCCTGCACTAGAAAAATCACACGTTCGGCACTCGAAGAGATTACAGACGTAGCTCCATGGCATCCACTTTCCGAGATTTCTGAATGGATTCTTCAAAATCGTACTTGGCGTCACGAGCTGTGCTGGGTGCGTGTGTGAGCAGCGATGCGGAAAAGCCGGCGCGCCTCGTCTCGGTTTGGCTCCCGAGGCCTCCACGATGCAGGGCAGCAGCAGATAGAGCACGCGCGACTGGCGGAGGAGCAGGTGGTGTCTCAAGACCCCATCGAGGAATCCAACGGTACGCTGGGTTACCCTGCAGAGGGACCACCAGGGTGCTTCGTCATGAGCCATGATCTGTCCACTGCTGGATGATGGCCTTCCCAAGGCCGTAGTCACCGCTCATGGTCTTGCGATGCAACCATCTAGACAAGGCGCCAGGGATTAATGCTTTAAAAGTCAGTCCCTCCCTGCCCAGTAGAAGTGACACGAGTGCCGAGGGAGTGGGTTAACCGTAACTCCATACTCTTTGGTTCTTTCGGTAAAGTCACGTAGGTAGAAAAATAATAATCGATCACGACGTTTCGATCGCCACACAAGCGGTCGTCCTCAGGTGGGAAAAGAACGACCGCTTGTATGGCGATCGAAACGTAGTGATCGATTATTATTCTATACCTACGTGAAGAGTCTGGATTCCTGCAGTCACGAAAGCTTCAAATCAAGATTTAACCGTGTTCGTATAAACACTCGAGCGTGTGAGTGGGGTCGGGAGCTTGTGAAATAGGACATTCGTGGTTTCTTTGTTAACCCAGGAAATTATTACTCGGCCTCAATTCTCATAGCTCTCCAAAGTGTTTTCGGTTGGACCTCGTGTTGTTTGGCACGATGTCCGACGTTTCGCTTCAGGTGTTGAGAGCTTATTCAGGGACGAATTGAAGAACTAATTTGCTTTACTGAAGAAGCTCCCAGCACGTGGGGCAAAACGTCGGACATAATGCCGTACAACTCGCGCTAAAAGACATCGGAGCGCGATAGAGCACAGCCGCAGAAACCGATGCGGTAGTCTCAAGACTCATGTTATGCGGGATCGTCGTTTGGGATTTTTGTCCAATTTATGTTCTGCAGAGGGGATGAAACAATGTAGTAGAGAACACGGACACAGAGCAGGAGTTACCGAACTGAACGTAATCAATACATGCTCATAACAAATTATCAAAAATATACGTGTTTGAACTCCGATATTCTTTCATACTGTACTTGGGAAATAAGAACAAAACTAAGAGTATGGATTTGTTTGCAGATTACTGTCCAGTGCTTAGAGCTACTGAAAAAGGAATGCCAAGAAAGCAGTTGATCACTTCTGTTCCCGGTGAGTTCAGTCTTTCTTATTCATCCATCACCGGGTGCTGTTTTTGAACAACTACCATTGCCACTATACTCATTCATTACACAGACACAGACAACTACCATTGCCACTATAATCATTCATTACACGGACACAGACAACTACCATTGCCACTATACTCATTCATTACACGGACACAGACAACTACCATTGCCACTATACTCATTCATTACACGGACACAGACAACTACCATTGCCACTATACTCAATTCATGACACGGACACAGACAACTACCATTGCCACTATACTCATTCATTACACGGACACAGACAACTACCATTGCCACTATACTCATTCATTACACGGACACAGACAACTACCATTGCCACTATACTCATTCATTACACGGACACAGACAACTACCATTGCCACTATACTCATTCATTACACGGACACAGACAACTACCATTGCCACTATACTCATTCATTACACGGACACAGACAGACCTTTGCCAGTTGACCGATCGACGAGGGTCTCCTTACGTTGCGCAGGTCATCAGCGTTGTTTGACCACAATTCTCCACGCTGGTCGGTGTGGGTGGGGCGAAGGTGGGGAACATAGACGTGGTGGCATAGTACAATCCAACAATTGCTTTTGCTGCACTACCCTCTGCTGCCCACCACGGAGGCCCACAGCAGCCTATAGCGACCTGCTATGGATGGTGCTAACCCCATCCAAGCACTATTCAGTCTACAGCCTCCTTGGCTTCCGACATCTGTTGAGACCGGTCACATTCGGGCTGAATGGATCTTAGCCTTATGCTGATTAGGGTTGTAATAATTCACTCCCCAGGCAGTTTGATGAATTGTCACGATTCAATTAAATGTATATTTTTTTACATTGTGGTGAATATAGGGGCCTCTAGTGGCTGCAGAGGATCACATTAACAACCCATTGCATACATCTACAAATTGAAAAAAAACCGCATACTTTCTTACAGATGTGATTCAGTCCATCAGCTTAAGAATCAATATTAATGCATCGATGCAGCATCGTTACACCCATTATATTCGTGGCTGCTTTGCAGATTACCATGGTGGATTTTTGCTGAGACCAATGAATGAGGAGGAGGAAAAGTCTCGGCTGTTACGAGTATCGCTCGCTCGGATGAAACTCAAGCCAGTACCAAAGGTCGCCTCTCTGGAGGACGTCTCCGTAGACGACTTCGCTGGAGCCTCAGCGGCGAGTGCTGCTCCGCAGGATGGCAGAGAACGAGGGCACGGTCTCATTTTCTTAAAGATCTCCAAAAGGAAGCAATCGCTCGGTACGTCGCACACAACGATGAGCACGGTTGGCCACGTGCAGTGCGAAAGATGGTCAACGTACTACACACACTGCACATACCGTAATGCTCTGTTGTTAATGTATCATAATTTGCCCAGAAAAAAACCCTCACTTGCTTCTGTACGGAGGCAACAGATAGGCGTTTTGGCAATGTGATGACAAGAGACAGAGAAGATGCGATTCGAAGAGCTGTGGAGATGCCACTGGTGCAGGGTAGGAAGACGTTAAGGGGCCATCGAAGGTGAGAAGGAAGGATGTTGTGGAAACTAAGTAAGATGATGGTGGACGTGACTCAAGAAGAGGCAGAGATTAGAGGTACATCGGAGCAACTGATCCCAAGAGGAAAAAAAAACTCATTGAGCCTCGAGAATATTTTGTAATGTTGGGACGCTGCCATGGTGTGATGGTTGGCACACCGGATTTGCGATCCAGAGATTGCCGGTTTGTTCTCCCGGTGTGGCAGTTGAATCACCGGTGCTTCTGTCCACCCTGCAGTATTAATAGACACACAAATTAGTTGATCGGCAAGTTAACGTGGTTGGTGTAAGGTCTGGGTAAAACTATAATAAACTGTGAACAATTTTTATTTTACCGGTGTAAGGCCCACTAAGCTGTAAATCTTTTTCAGAAGCAACATGTTCCCACAAATGATAGTTCAAGGATGTGGCTTATCGTGTGGAAATGTATAGCAGCCAAATATACGATTGTATATACGTATATTACGATATACTAAATGTATAGCAGCCAAATATACGATTGTATATACGTATATTACGATATATGAAATGTATAGCAGCCAAATATACGATTGCTTGTGTGGCGATCGAAACTTCGTGATATATTATTTTTTCTACCTACGCGCCTTTACCGAATGAACCAAAGAGTATGGATTCCTGCAGTCACGAAAGCTTCAAATCAAGATTCAGCCAAATACTCTCAACACGTGTTTCTAAATTTGGAGGGAAAAACCGGAGGGACCAGAGAAAAATCTACGCAACCACGGAAAGAACATGCAAACTCCAAAGACAGGCGCTTATTGACATGCGCGATCGATGCGTTTCTGGACAAGCGCACACATCTCAAAATCGCGTATGTCAAAAGCAATTTCCCCGTAAATAATGGTAAAGGATTTTTGATTTAAAGCTTTCGTGACTGCAGGGATTCATATTCTTGGTTCTTTCGGTAAAGTCACGTAGAAGGGAAACAATAAACAATATTTATTGTTTTATATCTTCATTATTTTATTGTTTCCCTTCTACGTGACTTTACCGAAAGAACCAAGAATATCATGGTAAAGGAGTTAGGGGATTTCGCTCACACTCGCAGACAATCGCCTATTTTATCCTAGCCTATATCAATACACAAGAGATGTACACGCAATATACTACTTTACATTTAAAAGAAAACCATGTAAACTCTAATATACTTCCTATAACATGAAATGAAAGACAGTATTACTTACTTGAAACTACCCTACGCCGTAATTGAGACAAAGGGGAAGAGCGCCAGTTGTCGTACTGCACAGGCTGCTGGCAACGCCACTGGGTCGCGGTGCCAGGCTAGGGTGGACGACGTTATTCCGAAAATTGCCTCGCGTATGTCAATGAAACGGTCTAAATACAAAGCGCGCGTTATTCCAAAATGTTGTACCACAAAATTGCGTGAACCGAGGATTGGCTGTATACAGGCTTCAGGGTCGGGATCGAGCCCACAACAACCTGTATACCAGGCGCGTTTAGTGAGCGTGGAAGAGTAGGCCAAATACCCTCGAGAAGAGCTCCCTCTAGTGGACGCCCTTCTGACAGCATTGGCGTCAGCAAGAAATTGCAGGGGGCTTGCATGCACACCGTTACCTTGGCGTGATTGCTTTGTTTTACCCAATTCCCTTTCCTCTGTGGAAGTCGTCTGCATTAAAGATGTGCAATCGCCACACGCAACCAGGACTGTTGCCTCTCCAAGTGCGACCCAAGCCCTTGCTCGTTGCCGTTTTGGGCGCAGTTCAACCGGACCCGTCATCTTAGGAAGAAGGCTGCCTAAAGTTCCGCAGCAAACATTTTTTTTAAAAATAAGATTTACGAAGTAACAGACGCTCACCACCGGGAGGCACTGTTCATCCATTATTCCTGAAGAACAATGTCGTGATAAATCGAGTACCACGAGTCAAAAAGCAGACGGTGTCATTTTCAGTAAGGCACGCAAACTGATATTACTCCAGTGCGACTGTAATTGTCTAATGGATATTGCAATGCAGTTGTTATTATTATAGATGCATACACAAGTGGACAAAAATACAACTCCTGCTGGAAATCTCCGGATGTATCGGTGAGTGTTGTCGGCGCGGAGTGGTTTTGAACGAGTGTTGCCAGAGTGTTGCCTGGTGATGTTGCCGCCACATCAGGAATGAGCATTTCTGGGGGCAGAGATATCGTGGCTCAGCCAGCCGTGAGGATTGAGAAGATCTTCCCTGGTGGAGCTGCGGCCGAGTGCCATCTATTAAAAGTGAGAAGCTCCTCCGTGTCCTCCAACTCACACATCCATCTCTACATTATAAGGTCGCACTCTACACACACAAAGTGCTCTTCGCAAATGGATCACAACACCTTGCTGAACTCGTCAAGGAGCATGAACCATCACGCAAACTCTCACGGTCATCCTCGCAGCAGCGGCTTTTGGCTAGCCATCGACGGTCACTGCATCGATCGCAGATGCACTTTTGCGGCCATTTGCTCTCCAACACACCGGTGTGCTGAACTAGTAACGAATTGCCATGTTCTGTTTACGTGACAAACTTTACTAAATGGCCGTGTCGGGTGGTGGCAGGTTTAACGACGCATATTTACGCAATCTTACCCCAAAAAAAGCTATATTTTAGATTATATTGGTCGCGAAAGCTTTCGTGTTAATCTTCCTATATTCGGAAGCCACTGGAAGGTGTGCACGCTTAAACCAAGATTGAAAACTCATTGCTGTAGAACTGCTTTTTGTTGTTTAGTTTGTTGTCCTTACAACGCACTTCCCATTGGCACGGTTTGCTACATACGGTGCGAAATAAATTCAACATGCAGACATCTATTGAGATCAGCTTCGAGTTCAGATGTCGACAGTCAATGGATGTCAGCACTTCCTATTGGCTCTCGTTATGTTCCCTTATGCTGAACTGGGTCCACTCCTTAATGTGGTGTCCACCACCATGTCCGTCTTTGTCTTCCTCTTGTCCTCCTGCCCACATATCTTCTAAATCCAACGTCATTCTCTTGGCACCCGATTGATTCAAGCGCGTTCGTCATTGCTCTCGTTCATCCCACACGTGGCACATAATGATTGTTTACGTTGCATAAGACACCCCAGTAAACATGCCAACGTTGCCCATGTTCACTGGGACAACACGTATCCAATAACTCAAAATATAATTGTATACTTTTAACTACATAGCGCGCTTTGTTGCAAAGCTTTGTGCAGGACACAAAACACGCTCTCAAGTTGCCTATCACTGTACATTGTCTCGGGATAAAATATACAATTTGTTCACAGGGGGCAGCCCGTGAAATGATAACCCGTTCACCCTTTGCGATCTGAAAATGTAGACAAAAAAAGCCTTTGGCACTGTGTTGTAAATGGAGTGCTCTTGCCAGTAACATCTGGATATACAGTCGTACTTGTTTAATAAGCCTTACTCCAAGAGTACGTGTGAATACGCTTGAAGGTTAAAAGCGGTCAAGAGTTTGCTTGCTTAAACAAATGCTGCTGGATAAAAATTGGAACGGAAACCCCACGGGGTGATGGAATGATTTAACGTTTTTATTTGGGGAGATAAAATAACATGTTGTAATTATTTATTTAACTGCCCACAACGTTTCGCGCGACAGCTTATCGAGTTCTTATACCGGCGATTTAATTTCTATTTGAGATGTTTTGTTTTAAATAACAAACAATGACAATTGAGTAAGGAATCCAGCTGTGTTTACAGCCCGTGATATTGCTGCAATAACACAAACCGTAGTAAACATTTAGCTGCCCTTTACATTGCCAAGGAGCTGCAAAATATCAACTGCTTCCTCGAGTGCGTTGCCACTGTTTGTTTGCATTGTGTTACCCAGCACGGCAGGGGTGATGAGATGCATAATTAATGCTCCCAGCCACCACGAGTGCTCCAGCAGCGACGCGCTTGCCCTGTGCCGTTAAACATTCATGCCCCTTTATCCTTCTTCTTCTACTTCTTCTTCTTCCGATCAGCGCACCAGGGGGTTGCCGCCTGTCCTGGCTGTTTGCCGGATCCTCTTTTTCGACGCAGCGAATCCTGGGAAATCTCTTGGGTCTTCCCGGGACGTTCTTCACGTTCTCCTCCTTCTCCTCCTCCTCCTTCTTCATCTTGTGTACGATGGAACTATGGCTCAGGAGCATAAACCATCGCGCAAACTCTGGTCATCCTCGCAGCGGATTTTGGCTGGCCATCGAACAGAAGACGGTCGCTGCATCATCACACGCTTTCATGTGCACTTCTGCGGCGGTCTGTAATGCTCTTCCTTCAGATATTAGGAAGCAACTGGTGCTGTGCACTTTTAAGTGACGATTGAGAACTAGTTTAGTTTGTTGTCCTTCCCCCGCACCTCCGATTATCACGGTTGGCTGCGTACGGTGCGAAAGAAGTTCAACATACACACAGAGGGCTTCAGCAGATAAAGTGTTGGTGTAGTTTTGCTCTTGCAAAAGCCTGACTCGGGTGAGCTGGCTTAAGGCCATGTGCTTAACTTGAGCCGGCTCTGAGCATGGTCCCAGGCACGGTTCACGTGTAAATCCGCCTGGCCTGTAAATACGCTTTTGCGAAATACCCTGACCAATTCCTGGTAGGAAGCTTTCGTGACTGCAGGAATCCATACTCTTTGGTTCTTTCGGTAAAGTCACGGAGGTAGAAAAAATCAAATAGTGACTTTACCGAAAGAACCAAAGAGTATCAATTCCTAGTCGTCACACATTCGTCTCACAAAATAAAAAAAAAAGATTGTACACAAAGCATGCGCAGGTACCACTCGGTTCAGAGAGTGAATGTCATTTAGCGTGCCATTGTCAGATTTTAATGTGTTGACTGGCATAGTATTTAATATGTGCGTAGTCCATGTTCGCAAAGCAATTAAAATAATTGGGGGATATAAAGGCTCTGTGATGATGCTACAGTTGAGATGCGGATCAAAAAACTTCTGCCAATGGAGTTTACGCCCACTCAGGAGCAAGTCACGGGCTAATTTGATCAGTTGTGGCACTGAACACGGATGAAATCATGCAATTTTTTTAAACTGTTGTTGTTCACATGGACTATGTTTACATGTCTGTGCCATGTGATTTGGTACGTTCTCTCTGGCGTGACGATTAGGCAAATGACATTGCATTAATCCATCAACTGACATCGATTCTCAAGCTCACAATACTTGTATCGTCGAATCGATTATTTACAATTAATACAAATGCTATAACAATGTTACATATGAGCTCATTGATAAAGATGTACAGGTGAGACAAAAAACTAAAACAATGAGAATTTTGTTTTATGAAACTACTGTACAAGTTGTACATTGAATCTTCGGGGGCAAATATTACAATAACAGTGATTGAGATGTGTTGAATATAATATTAAATTATCTGGGAAATGTTCTGAACATATTTCACCACGCCGGCCAGTGCATATTGGGTGAAGGGGGGACACATGACCATTTGAGATATGATTTGCATATCTTACAACCACGGTCGGGAATTCAACTCGGGAAGCTGGGTTCAGAGCGCAGTATGCAAAGCACGACGCCGCCACCCCTTCCCACCATGGGCTATACAGAGGAGAAATATCGGGGTTACATAAGAAACACAAATCATACTTGAAGCACTACCAAGAAGACCAAATGGACATTGGCAGGCTAGTGGAGAGGACAGTCAGGTAAATGAGCAGGGCGGTGTTGAGTTATTCACGTGGGGGACGCACGTTTGGCACGATGGATTGCATATGCACGCAATTGGGAGCAATTCTAGTTGTCAGATATGTGACGTAGCAGGACATCAGGCAACGCAACTCAGTGCATGGGGGATGGACACCCTCTTGCATTTGTTCCCGACATTTAATTTGCACACTTTCTCAGGGCAGCATCTAATGTACAGGGTGTCTTGCATGAGCTCATTATCAAATAATTATAATGATGTCCGCGACGGTGTTGCCAAGACACAACTCAAGAAAAAACTAAATTATTCAGGCGTAAACCAACATCTGCGATTGTTACGTTTGGCTGCTACGTGACGCTCATAATCGCTCGACCTTTTCTGTTTAAACAGTTTAATTACGTAAGGAGCACTTGGCCAACTTTTTTCACACTTCAAACTGCTAATAATAATAATTGTCTTAATAAATGGCCGCCTCTATGGACACCTTGTAAAAGAGTGGTAAAGGTGCTGCCTAGTAATTGCTTGGCCCTCGCCACTGTTTCGGAAGGGTCATCGCAAGAGGAATCTCTAGAGCCGCGTTCTTCATTGTAAGGCCCCTGACAATACACAAAGAGTGAAAACGCCCCTTGCAGACGGTGTGGCGGCCCTCGCACCGATCATGTCTCGTGGTCGAAAGTGGACAACCCCCTCCTCTGAAAATTAGTGAAGAACACTGGCTCGAGAGTATTTTACCCTCTTCCACACAGATCAGACGTCTTGGTAGAAGTAGGAGTACAATTGCTTTACCCCAACACACGTGACCTGTATCAAAATCGGTTTTACCCTTTCCGGCAATGAAACAGCTGCGTTAAGATGTAAAAACACCAAAGAGAAACCTTTTTGCAAGGAACAATGTCACTGCATTAACCACAGATACTTTGTGGTGAACATGCAAACACAAAAATAACGTGCTCTGATATTATACGGCATCGTCTTTGAAACCGATTGGTCTACACCAGAGACAGCTTTCTTGAGAGGCTAGTCTCAAACAGTGTTAGACCAGAGGACGTCGAGGGGGATGTGAGACACGTGCACTATTATTTAATCTGCCGTACCGGGAGATCGAATCGACCTCTGGATTGCAAGTCCATCGTGCAAACCGTCACACGACTGTAGTATCCCAACTCGGGAAAATAACAGTAGATTACACTTTAACCTGAGTGATACTTGTCCTAAAGTGGCTATGCGGTGGAAAATTCGTTATCAATTCGTGTCGTGTTGTGATTTGGTCTTTCAGATTTTTTCAGCATTAAAAACTTGGAAGGTGCACCCACGGAAAATACTTTGGCCGTTATTAAAATTAAAACATTGCATACATACAGTGCTGTATTACCTTACCGGTTTATATTACTTTTCATAAACACATGAGCATGTTTATGCAAATAAATGCGTAAATTCAAACCCACATTTCACAAGACAGCATTAGGCAACATCACCAACTCACACCAGCATGGTGATGTATGGTAAACACCCTCGTGACTGATGCTGCGTGGGGAGACTTTCATCCAGCGGTGGAGTCACAAATGGCTGTACATATACAAGTGTGTAATCTCCAAATAAGTACTGTATCTGCCTGAGCTCAAGTATTCGCTCCACTTCCAGTGATTACATCTAAAAACTGTTATTATTACGCAGCAGTGGCATGGCTATCGAGATTCTAGGCGGCACAACTGCACTTGAGTCCACGTGCCAGAGGGGCCCAGGTTATCGACTATGAAGAGGGTGCTGAGAAATTGGGACAGGGGACCGCTATTTCATTTCTTGCTCTCAGGGCGCCTTGCCAAGCACACGACGCCACCATTACGCAGTGTAACATTCCGAGGACGTGTTGGGGAACGTGCGTTTCCCTATGAGTGTTGGCAACATCGTGGTTAGTGTGCACTGCACTTGAACCCCAGTTTACTCCGATTTTAATTACCGCTCGTGGCCAACGTCAGTGACAAAATATCTTAAACAGTCTTGGGCCTCCCCTAGGTGGACTCGGCCTCGAATGAATACCCGGCGAGGTGTGTGCAAACATCAGCACTGCGGAGACCAAGGAAGCTCATAGCCATGGCTCTGGCCAACACCGCCGGCTTTCACGTCGCATTCCGGGCCCTTGATAGGCGCTCCCTTTACAGCACATTCCTCCGACAGCCTGTCCAGGTGGTTTGGTGGTTAGGGGGGTGGGAAAATGTGGTGGTTGGATCTCTTTTTGTCTTCTGACTGTAACGTCGACGATGGCCCCGTGGCGTACGGTGCTGTGCGTTTCTCTGTCTCTCTCCCTGCGCCCCCCGTCCGCTCAGCCCGGGGTCGAGCTCGTCTCGGCGGACGGCGTGAGCTTGCGCAGCGCCAGCCACTGCGAGGCCGTGGGTACCATCCGCGCCGCCTTCCGCAACAAAGCGCGAGAGCCCATGGCGCTGGTGATCAGGTGGCCCGGGCAAGCGGCCCTCTGAGATTGACGGGACACTTTTGAGTGCAGGAGAAAGAATAACAGTTTTTTTTTAAGTGTCGCGTTGTGTACGTGACTCTTTGAAACGGAGACAAAAGCGCGGCGGGTCGAGAAAGAAGAATCATCTTCTTGCGACGTGGGAGAAGAGGGAAAAAAATCATGGCAATGTGAGGTCATCTGAACCCGCGTACTTGTTTTAAAATGTTTCACAAGGTGTTGAAGATCGAGAAAAATGAAACTTCCCGACATCGGTTTAAAACTACCCTGTATTTGCAATATATATGGAAAAGGATACTAAACAACACGTGTGCAACTCGGAACCGGTATAGCATTATCTCTCTGTTTCAAATATAGAATAACAATTGGTACCAACTCATGTCACGAGTAAATATTTAGAACATGACATCAAGTACAGCAAAGCCAGGCAAGTATTAGTGAGATAAATTGCGTACTGTGCAGTAATCTTATCGGAGGTCAAATGGAATATTTATGGAACTATAAAGTTTATGGCAGCACGTTTACAAGAAAAGTCGGTACTTTATGGAAATGTACACACAAGTTGTTTATTGCTGTCATGGCAATCGGACCTTTGCCCTCGAAGACAATGGATTGTTGTTTGTGGGATTTTATTCTGTTAACTTTTTGATGGATCCACCTAAGATTGTGGCCAGGATGAGGCCTACAATAATTGTGGTTGAGTAATAATTAAGCAAATCACCCTCCATTCCCTATCTCCTAGATACAAATGTTAATACATTTTAACCTATATCCTTAGTTTTTTCGGTAAAGTCACGTTGAAGAGAAACAACAAAATAATAAAATATATATAAAACAATAAAAAAAAATCTCACGACGTTTCGACCATAACTCAAACGGTCGTCTTCAGGTGTGTTGGTTCGCTTAAATTTATTTTTAAACGGCGCATTTATTTATTTATAAAAAAAACGTTAGCGCCACGCGCAACGATTTGGCAGTTTACCCAGGACTAGTCCATCTATATTCTGAAAAGAGGAGGGGGGAGACGAAATTTTTTATAATGTATGCTGTCTGAAAACCACTGTAAGCGTGAACAATCAATTAAGACCTGAAATGGTTTATCAAATCTTTCCAATGATTGCTAAGATAGAATCCATCTTCTCGGTTGAAATTGTCTCTGTGCTTGTATATGTGGATAGCCTCATGAACGAATCTCTCATGGAAGCCAGATGGCTTACAAAGAACCTCTGTCTTGGAAAAGTCAATGGCATGTGAGCCTACTGAATTAGAACAATGATCTGCCACGGCCGAGGTGTTGGTCCTACCGTGTTTAAGGTCTGCTTTGTGTTCACGAATGAATTTTTTATTGTTTTATATATATTATTATTTTGTTGTTTCTCTTCAACGTGACTTTACCGAAAAAACTAAGAATATGAATTACTGCAGTCACGAAAGCTTTAAATCAAAACATTTTTACCTATTAACCTTACACACTTATGTTAACCAGCAGATTTTTTTTTAAGCTGGACTGGTTTCGCTCTGCTCAGGCTCATCAGCAAAGTCAGGCGTGCTTGGCAAATACTGCTACGTCATGGTCCATCGGTTCAAACAATAACCCCAATGTAAAATACAATCCACTAGAGCGCTAATTGAGGATTCATATAATGCCTGTGAGTTACTGACAATGCTTGGCACTCAGCACTTTAAAAACTGGAAAATGAATGAATCAGCGAATGTTATAGTCACTGTTGCATTATTGCAATTGTATATTTGGAAGGAGAGTTCTTTTTTTGCTTTAGATAATGAGAGGTATGACAAACATGTGCCCTGTACACTCTTGATAGTAACAGGCAGATTGAGGCACTTGGAAGTTGAAGGCTGTGATTTTGAAAATGGCAATGCGTCTGATGACTGTAATAAAGATGCCAAGTGTGTTTCCATTTAACCGTGATGGCTCCCCTTCTTTGCCGCAATAAGATGACCAGCCATTTGCCTCGGGGTGGATTTTCTCACATTTAGGTTGCTCTTTAAGACCTAGACAAAAAAAAAACCTCATTGTTCTCTTTGAAACCCACGACTACTTATAAATAATGAAGTGTAATTCAGGCATATTTAGACTTGCCCTTTGGAAGGTGAGCAATGCCAATGCTTCAGATGTATGTCTATATTAAGCATTTATAAATGCTGTTTAAAATCGAAATAATTTTGTAATTAAAATAGAAAAATCACACCATCTGGTCACATTAAAATTAACAAGCTGCCAAAAATCAGCCATGTTTTTTAACAAAACTCTATAAACACATTCAATGAGGTTGTGTTGTTATACACGTTGATGATTAAACCCAGATCATGCCTTGTCATCAGCTGAAGTTGTGAATTACGGTCATGTAGCTGCATGTACAGCTACATGTAGCTGTGCAGTTCATCATCCACTTCATAAACATGCTGGTTAGTGCATGTTGGTGAAGGGAACATAGGAGTCCACTTTGACAATGTATTTTGCTGCACTGCCCTTTGCTGACCACCGTATAGCCATGCAGCCACCTGTTATGCACGGTGGTCATCCATCTAAGCACGACGCAGGTTCAACCGTGCTCAGCTTCGAACAAGATGGGACACATTTCGGGTGAATTGGTCACAGGAATACTGCATACACACGATATTACATGGGTATGGCAACATACCTTCAATTCGGCACGTAGGTTTTGACAACCAATATGATTCGCAATGGATTTCATGTGTTAGGTAACGCGCATTAAATGTAATTGGGTTATTACCTTGTGCCATCACTCGTTAAACAAATTCAGATACAGAATGGGAGCATTGGTGCAGCGGTTCACGAACAAACCTCAGCAGCAAGTGAACTCATCATGGACTTTTACTCCACCACCGCCTCCTTCAAAAACCCACGCTGGACAATGTGACGTGTGGTGAAGATAACTCCCCCATGACCGAGATGGCACAGGGAGGCCTTCATTCAGCTACGAATTGACAAATTCAACTGTGTTAATAAGTAGTGCCTGGAGCGGCCGCAGGGGGTGACATGAGTCCATTACGTATAACATGTAAGAATATTAAAAACGTTTGATTCCTACACATGGCATTGCATTGCATGCACCGCGAGCTCAGGAATCAATACATAGGGCAGTGCATGGTTACACCCCCGAGTTCGCACATGAGAATGCCCCCACCCCCGTGAAACAACAGAGAGCTGTGGGAACAATTTTTGAAACCGAGGAGGAAAGTGGCCACGGGGACCGGCGTTGAGTAACCGAGAAGGCCCATGACGCGATTGATAACGCTCTGTAACACAATTTTTGTTCTTGGGTACTAAGTGTTATTTTTTTTTATTGCTTATGCCTAAAAAGTTTAGAAAATGGCTATTATTACCCACAAACGTTGCTTTTGTGACCAGGACTTTACGTGAACGAAAGACACATGCACATGTTTTCTCATTGAAAATAGGGGCATTTCAAAATATCACTCTCCTGGTCACAAAATTAAAGTTTTGGGGGAATAATAGCCATTTTATGTACTTTTGAGGCAAAAGCAATTAGGAAATAACACTTACTACCCAGGAACATTTATTTTTGTTCACACAGTGCAATGGAAGGGGCATGGGACCATACCGCGCCTCCCCTGTCTAAAGAGCTGTGGGGGGGGGGGGGGTAATTGCCCCCCACCTATCCCCTCGATTCCCATTCTCGAGCGGCACTGCAACCTTTCTTCCCTTTCGGCGGTGCGGTGTGCGGCGAGACTTCACTGCCCGAGTTGCGGGGGGGGGGGGGTCAATCGTTACATTAAAAATCCCCCCCCCCTGTTTGAGTTGGGACGCACTTAGCATCGTGTCACGTAAATGGTCGAGGTCGCGGAGAGAGAGAGAGAGATGTGAGAGACGAGGCACTCGACACACTGAACGTTACTTAGTCGAGATATACGGGCTCCGTTAGAATTATGCACGTGATGAGAATGATGGGTCCCACATTTATCTGGCGGCAATCGCCGAGTGACAGATTAGAACCACTTAAAGTAATGGACGAAAGTGTGGTGGGGTTTTTTCTCTCTCTCTTTTTCTCTCTCCACAGTTTCTGATTACATTTCATGATATAGTAAAGGCTCCTGTGTATTCATTCCTTTATTTTCAACATAATTGTATTTTCCCCCAGCAAGAGGCTCGAGTGTGTCTCTATTCCCCGCTTTGTGATATATTGCTTACTGTGTTTGAGTATGTATAAGGGTCCTACAGAAAAAAAACTGTTACAAGGCTCATTCATAGGTGGTGATGTAAAGTGGAAGCATGGACCAAAAGAAAATTTTTGTTGCATTAAATTCTGTATTATTACTCAAAGAACCAATGTACTTTAAAGAGGAAGCGTAAATACCGTATAACGTAATGCGAAGCAATTTGGTATAGACGTAAAATAATTGACACTATATTATGTGCATTGAGATTGTTTTAACATGAACGACTTACCTCAAACCTCAGATTTGTTGTGATATTCCAACCAACATCTCCAGAATTTCCAAAGCTTATGCAGTAATGCTCCATAATAAGTGCTCATCATCATTATCAGCCATGGGCAGTCTATTTCTGAAGGCCTCCCCCAAAGCCACCACCATCTCTCACGATCCTGTGATGTAACAATCCACCTGGCAGCTGCACGCGAGTTGCTTTCATCGTCCTCTCAGCTCCGTTCCATTACTTTGCCACTATGGTCACCAATCTTTGACGATCGACCATCATCTATTCTAGCGACGTGTTCGGCCCAAGTCCACTTACTTTAACTTAGCGGTCTGAATGATGTCAGGCTCGGTGGATCACACAAATGTTGTGAAACTTCCTTTTCATGGCTGTTGCAGTGCCACGCTCTGTCTTGCCAGGAAAAAGGGATAGGGCAAATGTGAACTAATCCCCATCTGTTCAATCTGTACGAGGTAGGGTATTGCCCCCTCGCATGTATGGGTTTTCACCGGGTGTTCTGATGGCCTCCCACGTGTATAAACACATTAACTGGTTGAAAACATCTTATTATATAGAGAACCACCGAGCTTTGGCAATTGTTGGTGTTGGCTCACCGCCTGGATGCCCTTTCAATTGCCGTTCCTCACGCCTCCCTGCGTTACGAAATGTAAAACTTTGAGAGATGTATTTTGCATGAATGATGCACTATAAAACTAAAACATTGTATTATCATCTCATCCAGTGACGTGTTCTCCCCAAGTCAACTTGTTTCCTGCTTAGCAGATTGAATGATGTCATGAACAAAATACCTCTACGGGTGTAGCAATATTGCACAAGGTATAATTTTTCATGACAAAATGTACATATTAAAAAGAAGGCAAGTGACAGGGTAGTTCAGGACCCTGGGATGCGCAAAGATGTTTTCATATTGCAGCAGCTAAACTCCATTATTATTCTGTCAAAATCCTGCAAAATTCGAGGCATAAGCAGGATAGCTGCTCATAACGAGGCCCTGTTGGTTGCAATGAATTACACACTAACATTTTATACATGAGAACGTTATGAGGCAGACTGAAAGGCTTGTATACAAAAATGCCCCTAATTGTTTTCAGGAAATGAGGACTTTTTTGTGGCAAGTTAATGTGACCATTAGGTCCTGATAGCAGAGCACACAGCAGTCTCTATTGTGAGGCTGTTATTAGATTTTTTTTTAATTGGGGTGTGCGTGCCATTTAACGACGGGCAGGAAACATAACATCGCACGAGAGCACTGCTGAGTGGTGAAAAATTTACACGATATCGGCGGATAATTTAAAGGGGGAAATGTGGTGGCCAACCACCTGATATTAAAAAAACCACACATTCATCCATCATCAGCCATAATCACCACGGCTGGATGCAGGCATCCCTACGCCGTTGCCTCTCATTTCACAAACGCTTGAGGAATCGTTTACAGCTCTTAGAAAATGCAGTGCTGGATAAAGAAGGCATCTCCAACCCCGTGTCACCATTGTTTGACCATGTTGAGGTGCTGTCTTCCGAGTGGCTAAGATTAACACAAATAATGAGTCTGTCTTAAAACGAACTACAGTACTTAATGATTTAGACGCATGCACACCCACTTTGTCACAAGCATAATGAACACCCAGCTATTGTCCTTTAAAATGGGCCCCATGACACTCCACTTGCCTGCAGCGGCCCTATGATTACCGTGTTTAGGATGAGTCACAAATCTACCTACGCAGACCTGCACATTATGGCGATTTTAATTTCTACCCGACTTCTATTCCTCCCACACTAATGGGCCAATTTTTTGGCTTTGTGATGAACAGGCGATGTCTCATTTGTGAGGACTTAATTATAAAGCAGCATATATGCCCTGCCATTCCTAACCAGTTTCCTTTTTCCCCCCCTTTTGTCAATCCATTCCTGAATTAAGGCCTCCCCACGTCACATGAGCCACGGGGGTTAACGATGCTTGACCATGCTCATTTTTTTTAGAAAGCATGTCATGAGTAGTTGATAATACTATGTGGACTAGCCTGTAATTTTAACAGGCCTCGTCTGGTATATCAGTGGGAACACCAGGTGTTGTAGCTGTGGGGCTGTGAGATATCCCGATGATAGCAGGACAGCAATTCTGTCAATCTGCAGATTTTACCCTGTCTGTGGATTGAATCTATCTGTGTGGAGCTCTTGTATTCATGGTGGGTTTTCTTCAAAAACTCCAGTTTCCTTTCACGTGCCAAGCAGTCATGAACAAATTTGGCCAAACATCCAGACGCAGGAGCACCTGTTTGGAAAAGTCTTCAAACGTAAACGAGAATGTCTGGCGTCAAATAAAAGGCACGGTTTATGACAGCATGTTTTTCTTTAGACAACTACACATGTATATATATTTTTAAAAAAATTGCACACAATTACTTCGAATCGGTGTTTCAAAATCAGTCTAGAATCTTATCGACGATAATGTCGGAGCCAACAACGGCAGCTGGGATAGACGCAACGCACGACATGCACCACGAGGACGAGAAACTTGCGCCGAGTTTAAGTTCACTTAGGTTTATTTACAAAAGGTGTTTATGTGCGCAAGCACTCTCTGTCCAGCCATGCAGAGCAAATGTACACATGCCACAGACATCCTGGCTCCAAATATGGAAGCACCAAGTACAAAAATAACATGGCTACAAAGTCTGGGCACAATGGCGGCAGCGGTGAAAGGTGTGACAATAATGCTTGGCAGGCTCGTACCCCCCCCCCCCCGTCACGCGAAGAGCACCGCCGCTATAGCAATACTATCGTCGATCCAGCAGCATCAACAGCCTCGTCCGCTATTTCTCTTGCAGCGACACCGCAGGGTACGCGCGTGCGCGCACGACGCTCGCTAATCGTAGGCAGCGTTTGGGAACTCCCTAAAAGCGGAGAGAGTTGCCGAAGCGAACCTCGAAGACGTCGGACAATGTCGCGAGACAATTTACAGAGCGTTGAGCAGAGTAAACCGGTGAAAACTCCTTCATACCCACCTTGGGGAATCGCTCCTAAATCTGCATCATGTCCTCATCCCAAGAAGTCGCTAGATTTGTAGCTTAGTCGTTTTGACAAGCTTTCCACGAGAGAAACCCAAAAAGTAGCTAGATCTAGCAACAAAATCGATAAGTTGTCAACACTGAAGACAGGCCCCTAGGTTAACGACATTTTCATCCTGTTAAGTTTCCTACTTTTGGGATTTTATTTATATTGCATAAACTGTTGTTTTATACGCTGTATTGTGTATATGTATACCATGAGGACATGTGTAACATGGGAAATACAGACCAAAAATTCTCAGTAACACAATGTCCTTAATTGAAAATGAAAAAAAATACAGTTGTGGACTATGAAAAACATCATGTACCACGATCAATTCAAATACAGGCGGCGACTTTTAAAACGCTCAGAAGTGTAACATTAGATTGGCAAATTGCTTTGTATTAATTATTGCTAAAATATTAATACTTAAATAAATAAAAAGGGAACACATATTCCAACACGTTGGAAGCCTCAAGACAGGAGAGATAAACAATTGAGCCCACATTTAAACTACAGCTCAGCCTAACATAACACACCAGCTGCTGTCTTTGCCATTTACTATTTGAAACATGGGTCAAACAATACGAGTTCTGAGGGCAGTGGCTCTCAACCTGTGGGATGCACCCCCTAGCGGCCTAGAGGGCGCAGGCTGCGGCGTGGATACCGTGCAGGATGCATCGTAAATGTGGCCGGGGAACGTCAGCGTCACATCACATGATGTGGTAACAAAACACTAATGCACTATGGGAGTCTGAGGCCGAGGGGGCGGAATGGTGGTGACGGGAGGGGGGGGTGGTCTGGATCAGGGAGGCCACCATACCAAAATGGTTGAGAACCACTGTCATATAAAAGGTGTTATGTTTTTTACACCCAGTCGCCAATAATTACCAAACTATAAAACCCAAGTAGCCGTAATCACATGACACAGACATTTTACACAATCACCAGCTGGAAACATTCTGTGAGATTTTGGTACGTACACATTATGGAATTTCTGTAGTTAGCCTCGAGTGGACTCTTTTGCAAAATGTTGAGTATGAGGTACTGTATATACCAAATAGAGTCCATATGCAGAGTCCCCGTGGACTTTGGTGATGAAGCAATTTCTATCGAGTGAAAAACAGTATGCAAACATTTACCGTACAGTGTATATAGCAGTGCACCCAAAATGTGTACGTCTTTACAGAGCTTTGACTACGCGAGCCTGAATCCACGGTACTGTAAATGAGCAGCACCACGATATTGAAGGATGTGGGAATTATGGCCTTAAAAACGCATTTAAAGACATTCACCACTGGCATTTTTAAACGTATTATTTTCACATACAAATGCAAGTGGTCGTTAAGCCGCGACAGTCGATGATTATACGAAACACGCTCGAAGCCGCGTAAGTACGGCGGGGAAGGATGTAGCATATTGGACAAGACCGCCGTGTATTCGAGCGAGCATAGCTCGCCAGTTAACCGCCGAACACGGAGCGCGTCTTAAGCGGGGATTCGGAATTCTTTGGAAACTCGCACATATGGCACCGACGACAACTTCGTCCCGTTCATCGTGGACACCGTTTGCGGGAACACATGCACATTTACACAACGGGTTTGACGTTAATTCAGCAATGGGGCAACCATGCAGCACGTAAGAGGAAAAAAAACACGCACAAATATTCACATTTTCGTCATGACGGTAGTAGAAACATTAATGTCCACGTAACCTCTAAACGTATAAAAAGCTACATTACAAACCTACACAAGGACATCTGCGAGGGTTTGACAGCCATCACCAACATATACAAACCGGCGAGCTGCAATATGTACATGTATAATGGCGGTCATGTGCTTGTACAAACCGAACTGGATGTGCTTATTCCACTGTCTGTTTACAGTAAGTGCAAGCGAACACTGATGAATAAATATTGCCTCGGGTTATGGCAAGAGATAAATACTGTACTGCAGAGAATTAACGAAGTACAAGGACAGACAGATACACACACACACACACGCGGGTTAGGAAAGTAATTTTCACGATGAACCATCCTGTAGCATTTTGGGAGTAGAATATTCCATCCCCCATCACAGCGGGCATCCCGTTTACCAGGAAGTTGAATTAAATAGTCATCTCACGGACTTTGCAATGTAAATATTTTGTAGTGTTAAAAAGAAAACTGGTTTTGGTGTGACAACATTCTGCTCTTTGCCGTAAGGTCAATAGAAATCAATCATTAATTAAGGCTCCATTCTTCGTGGTGCACATTTCTCAGGGGCAGAGATGGCGACTGGTCGATTGTCTGTCTGGCGCTCCCTTCGCTCCGCAAGCAAACGCGCCAAGTCCCTGCCGCGCAGCACGGCCGTCGAGCGGTGCCGTCAGATTTCAGTCGGAGCCACCGCGGAGACCACGGCGCCGGCAGTCGCCGCATTCTTGTAAGAAAACTCGCTGTGAGCGTCCACCTCCTCCATGTCCCTGCTCTCCAGCTCGGCCGCCATGCGCCTCACCTCCTCCTCCAGCGCGCGGTTCCTCTGGAAGGTCTGCAGGTAGCTCTGCTGCAGCTGCCGCTGGTAGCGGATCACCTTGTCCTTCTCCTCGAGCCACACGCGCCGCTCCTCCTCGAACGCGCCCGCCTGCTCGCCGAGCTTCTCGCGCAGGGCCTCAACCTCCACCTGCATCCTGCTAACATCGCGCCGCAGGCCCTGCAGCCGGGTCTCCGCCTCCGACCCGTCCCCCGCGCTTCCGCTGCGGTCGTCGCCCTCGGGCGGGAGCTCCGTCAGGCCCCGTGTGCCGACGGGTGGCTTCCCTGGCCCCGGTTGCGCTCCGTCGGTCCTGTTTTCCCCACGGCGGTTTTCGGCCTCCTCCACCTCACCCTCTTCGTCGTCGTCGTCGTTGACCTCCTCATCCTCGCGCACCCTTCTGTCCGTGTCGTCAATGCCCCGGCCGCCGCCGCCGCCGCCGCCGGTGGTGGTGGCGGCAGCGGTGACGTCAGCCAGCTTGCGGCGGAGCTCGGCCGCCTGTGCCTCATTTTGGGCCAGCTTCTCGCGGAGCAGCGCGGCCTCGCTGGCGCGGCGCTGCAGCTCGTTGGCGCACACCTCGAGCTCGGCCGTCTTGGCGTGGAGGCGGGCCTGCAGGGCGCGCGTCTGCTCGTCGCGCGAGGCCAGCTCGGAGCGCGCGTCACGTGCCTGCGCGCGCACCGCGAGCAACTCGCCGAGGCGCCCCGCCAGCTCCGCCTGGGCCTCCTTCAGCTGCTGCTTGAGCAGGGAGATCTCCCCCGACTTCTGGCACACCTGTGGCACGCCGTCGTCAGAAACACACCGAGGACTCTGAAAATTAAAATTTTAAAATTCGACAAAGGGGGGGAAATCATGAGGGAACGAACGAAACCCGACAAAAAAAAGGGGCACACGCGTGGGGGAGAGACGAACGTGACGAGTCAGGGTTTTCCAACGTGTTTACACCTAAGCTGTACCACGAGAACGTACGTAGTCTTACTGTCGCACACCCGGAAATACAGCCATACAATTACCGTAGCTTTTCATAGGTTACAACGTTGGCATGCAACATCTCTTAACACTCTGATATCCATGATTGAGAAGAGAATGTAAAACATTAAATCATACTGTGCACACCCACGCGTGTACACATTGCACATGGGTTTGCCTGTATCTGGATCTGATAAACCCACACTAATATTGACACTGCCGACACTCATTCCCCTCCACGTAGGCCCCGAGCAACATAAAAGGAGCTATGCTCTGGTTAAGGGATACTGGTCGCAGATGGACTCATTGCGTCCTGGATGGAGAGAGCAAGAACAAAGATTAAGATCCTCTCCGTACAGCGCTAACAGACTTCTGGGGCAAGTGCTGTTAAGCGAGTAGCACCGATGAAGGCTGGCACGGCACACGAGGGGGTGCGGGGCGGCCAGCACCACGCAGAGCAGATGGCAACACTCACTCAAAGTGCGAGTGGTCACAACAGTCGTCTCCACGCTACTGGGGTGAATTAAACGCCTTCCATCGCTACAGTATACCTATTATCCATTCCTCCTAAAATCAATCGGTTCACGTTCCTGTTATCCTGCCGTCAACTGCCGCACGACACAAAGCTTTTGCCCGCATAAGCTTTCCTCAAAATATTATTGTTCTTTGATAAGGCAGTGTTACTGAGGAATGTTTCGAGCAGTTTTGTCATTTTTGCTTGTGTACCGCTGCCAATGCAGGATCGCCAAATAAAGTGCCCGGGCAAGATGGGTGGCCAATTACTTGTGGCAAATGTTTCCTATACTCCCAGCCTTTGCACGGATGGACGAGTCACCCAGAAGTGGTGTCTACGAAGTGCTAAATGCATCTTATTATCCTCGCCTCTCAGGCTTAAAACTCGCCTCTTCTCCATTGTCCATTCTCTTCCCCTCAATACCTCCCCCCCCCCATCCACTCCCCTAACCCCAAACTCACCCTCCTCTATCGTGGTCACCCATTCCGTATCCCTTGAACGTCCCGTACCATCTAAATAATGTATTTATACAGGTCTTTTTTATTATGTAAAGTGACTTGAGCTGAAGTGTTCTATAAATATAAAATAAGGAGTCAGCTGGAGGTGATGGCACATTTTCTCCTTTTACGTGTTCATCTGCACTCTGTGTATACATATACTGTGCGGGGCACTCGGGTTATTTCACGAGACTTCATCACACTGCTCAGTGCAAATTGGTGAAGGCGGGGAGCATAAAAGTACAGTACAACAATGAAATTTTCTGCATTCCATTCGACTGTTTGCCACGTAGCCACGGAAATCTGTCTTGTGCCCGGTGGTCACCCATCGATCCAAGCAACATCCAGATTCAACCTTGCTCAAGCTTTTTAAGTCTAGTGAGATCGGGCGCATGTCAGCCGATTTGGTCAAACAGACGTTTCATCTTCTTGGTTCTTTCGGTGATTGCTTGTGTTGCAGTCGAAACGTCGTGAGAATTTTATTGTTTTACATTTTTATTATTTTATTGTTTCTCTTCTTCGTGACTTTACCGAAAGAACCAAGAACATGAATCCCTGCAGTCGCGAAAGCTTTAAATCAAAATTTAGACGTTTCATCGTCTGTATTACGAGGAGCAATCTGTGCGAATACACACACACACACACGTGACAGGATTCGCACCGAGCACGCCCGGAGAAGTGGCGTCTCTCTCTTCACTCGCACTTGTGCGGCCGTTCCTATGCGGCGGTGCGTTATACGCGATGGCAGCGACGCGTTAACGTCGTAGGCAGCAGCGGTACATTCCGCTGAACTTCTTTGCGCACCGTACGTAGCCAACCGTGCTTAATTCGGAGGCGCGGGAAACGCGGGTGACGCAGCTGCGCGCGCGCGCTCTCACGTCACCTCCCACTTGGTCTCCTCCAGGCGCGGGGCCAGCTCGTTCTGCTGGCGCTGGAACGCGGAGCAGTGCTTCTCCAGCGTCTGGCAGTTTCCCTGCAAGCGCGCCACCTCGTCCTGCAGGCGCCCCACCTCCTCCTGCAGTCGGCGCTTCTCCTGCGTCAGCTGGAACACCTGCAGCTGCGCCATGTGCTGGGCCCGCTGAGCCTTCTGCCCGGCCTGGCGCAGGCGCGCCCCGTACGCCTGCCTGCTGGTCCGCGAGCGGAAATTGTGGCATTGGGGCGGGGGGGGAGGTGGAGGCGAGGGTCGACAAGAAATGGTCGGGCATGAGGTTGACGGTAGTGTTGGGTGGCAGAGTAGACGTGCGAGGGGTGGAGGGTAGCACGCTTGAGTTGAGACGGACAGCGGCTTTTGGCGAGCCATAGAACAAAGACGGATACTGCATAGCATTACTTTCAGGTGCGCTTCTGCGGCCGTCTGGAATGCTCTTCCTTCCGATGTTAATAAGCCACTTGCAGCTATGCCATTTTAAATCTAGAATGAAAACTCATTTCTTTAGAACTGTTTGTGTTTGTTGTCCTTCCCCCGCACCTCTGGTTAGCACGGTTGGCTACGTACGGTGCGAAAGAAGTTCAACATACAGACAAAATAAGAAGAGGGCATGAATATACAGAAGGTGGCAGAGTGAGCTCGTTAAAAGGAAGAGAGATGTGTGCATGGGAAACAATGTAAATATAACAAGTTACGTAATGTCACACTCATACATGGTATGAAAGCAGGGTGAGAAGTGGCATTAAAATGAAATCAACCTCGCATACGCATACACAAAGATAACGATCCCCCATGTAGCCTGAACAGATTTTTGGGTGAAGTGCTGTTCGCGAACACCTATGAAGACCGGCACGGCACGCGAGGGGGTGGGGTAGGCAACACCACGCCCTGCCGCCTTTGTATCCCCAGTGGCGATGTTTACACACTGCACCAGGTACCCATTTGAGGCCAAGCCGACCTAGAGGAAACCCAGGACCGGTTTAGATAATCGCCACCGGTGTTGACCGAGCGGGAATCGAACCCAGGCCACCCCGCACTACCACTGCCTACAGTATTGAGTTTTTCTTAATCCTTTCACAGCAGATGTAACTATTGCTGCACATTTTTTTTTGCATGTGATCACACAACCTCGTGCAGCGATGGATAAAGATTCATGAAACCTTTCCTCGATATGCAGAGCGCGACACTATTTTCCAGCTTTATTATAGACTGTACTTTCAATTGTGCTTGAGTGACGTTGGAAACAGTGAATATACAAACTTTGACATAACATTCCTATTTGTCATGGTTTTTTTCTTGCATCATCACATTTTTTGGAGATCCCCAAAGATCCCTATCAGCATGATGTTACATTTTCCTGCTGCAAGCATCCTCCCAACATTTTCCAGGCATTACATGGTTTAGAATTCTGCCTCTACCATATATTGTAAATATATTTTTAACTGACTTTTTTTCCCCATTAAAACGTTTATCGCACCAAGATGTGGCACGAGCTGTGAGAAGCAAAGACTGGACTTACAGATATATGCAGTGAGAGATCTGGATACATTACAAGGAGATCCATTACAGGCTTTCTTTTGGGTTAGAAACGCGTGAATATAAAAGTGTTGTTAAACCTGCGACCGCCCGACACAGCCAATTACTAAGGTTTGTCACGTAAACAGAACATGCCAGTTAGTTACTCGTTCAGCACACCAATTAGTTACGAATTACTAATTGGCTGTGCCGGGTGGTGGAGGATTTAACGACACATTTATATGTACACGATCTAACCCAAACATTGCAAGGATGTATGGAGTGAGAGAAGCTTCAAGGGAGACAAATACAGCATGAGAGAGGTGTGAGAGTAAGAAAGAGACGAACAGGTTAACGATAAACAGACAGCATGAATTTAAGCGTATTCTGGGAAGAAATATTGTTCTCTGGTCCATATTTTTTTATGGTCCATGATGTTCAATTTCTCTGGAACTCCTGGAGAATCTCGGAATGGGGGTTTCGCTGAAATTATAATGAACGTGCAATTTCAGTTTCGCTTAATTCTGCTCACAGCCAAATAAACCCCACCGTTTTGCTTTACAACTGAATGAACAACATTTCCTGATGCTTATATAGCATAAATAATGCTTTGGCTTTGGTGCATTCAGAACAATAACAAAACGTCAAAACATTAATCAATAACTCTGCTCTGAAAGGAACGAAAAAAGTATGCATTAGTCAACATTTCAGGCAACGGCCCTTCATCATACCTCTCTGCTTTGTCTTTATTTTGGATAACAAGCCTCATAATAAGCCCTGATAAGAAAACCAACCTTCGGTTTAGCAGCCATTGCCATAAATTATCCACTACCTACACACATTCCATGTGAAGACAGCGGCAGCACAAAGCTGTTCAGTTATTTTTTGTGGGTTATTTAAGTGCCCCAAGGGTCCAAGCAAATCCAACACCGCACAAATCAGGAATGACGAGAATTCCATGCCAAAGCCACTGACATGCGAGGCACAAGTTTTAATGAACATCACTTCTTTAATTGCATCATGCCACCTAATTGATCACTTGCCGACCATATTTTATACGGGGCGGATGAGGATGCGGAGCATGTTCGGTGACCGCTATTTTGGGCTTCTCTGAATAATTTATTTTTCATGACTGCTTCAATGGCCAGATATAAATCGTTACACGGGCGGAAATACTCAGCCGCGTCATACCTCAGCACAGCAAGCCTGGCCCTCGACAGCCCTCGGCCCTTGGTATTTGCAGATTTGCAGCCCAGAGGAGCCACAATAAAAAAAAAAGATATACTACGTGTGAAATAGAAGGATCCCAGGACCCGTTGGTGCACTGACCAGACAGAAAAAATGAATAATAAAAATTCTTCAAAAAATAAAATTTCCCTTGGCAGCTATCACCACCCGCAGTCAAGGGCTTATAGAGAAAAAGTAATGGTGGCAAGGTCATGTGACAGGGTGCCTCAACCAGTAGAGGTTGCGCATTTTCGTGTTCTCTCTGTACACGTAAAAAACTTGCCAACTGTAGGAGACAACAACGCGGGAGACAGTCGTACCAAACAAACAACGGCAAACAATCCATTCGTGCAGCGTCGTACCTCAGCTCGGCAAGCTCAGCCTCCGAGGGCCCGGGCCCTCGGTCGTCGCGGGCGTAGGGGACGGTCGGGCCGGCCTCGCCGCCCGCCTGCCGCGTCCACCGCCGCCGGAACTCCTCCTCCACGTCGTACGGGTCGTCGGAGCACGGCGACTGGTCGCACGAGCCCCCCGCCTCGCTGCCGCCAGTGCCCGTCGGCCGCCGTCCCCCCCCTTTGCCGCCGCTGCTGCTGGAGGAGGAGCCGCGGCCGCTGTCCAGCGTGGAGCCGCCGCTGAGCATTCCTGACTGCGTGGGGGGGGGGGGGGAGGGGAACACCACGATGCGAGCGGGGTGAGCGAACGGACGGGCAAACGGACGAGCGAGCGAGCAGAAGAGGTGCACGGAAGGGGCGAGCGTGGCAGCGCACGTGCGAGCGCGGGGTGCGAGGATAAAGTGTGCGCGCTAGCGTGAGCGGACGCGCGCGGCAGGCGACTCGCAGAGAACAAATCATGCGGCCATGAGAATGGGTCCACGTGCCTCGTGGTTTTAACAGCTCTGTGCGTGTGTACGTGTGCGTGTGTGTGTGAAACGCTCGTGAATCCACGAGCATGGATGTGTGTAATTTCCCCAAAAATAGACGAACAAATGGAACAAGAGGCACGTGTGAAACAATTGTGTCTTCCGCTCACGAGCTACGAAAAGCTATGGGATTTAGTCAGGTGTTAGGTGTGGATTTGCAGTACAATGTATTCAGTTGATAAGACATTTTTGAACATTGAATTTCCATTCTGCTAAGTATACAAGGCGCAATACATCACACAGCCAACTCCGCTCGTTCACAGTCATTGTAATACTGCTCGTGATTTTATTGCTACGTATTTTTTTTCCAGGGCCATGCTTAACAGCTCTCCCGATTCTGTTGTTGGGTTTTGTCGCTTGCCGTTTGGACAGTTTACTTTATGTTATTTCGCCATGTGGGAAACCAAAGAGACCAAAGATAATCCGATTTGCAAGAGTGACTCAGGTCACCAAAATAACGAAATAATTTAATGCAACAACGTAAAACCAAGTTCAACAACGGGGCAAATAAGCAATTAAGTTCCTGAAGCTCTCGGCAGGTGCAGGGGAAAAAAAAGGTAAGACATCATGCCAAACAACATGCGGTACGACCCAAAAACACATCAGAGAGCAGTGAAGAAAGGCATTAAACAGTGTGGGAAACAAATTGAATTGTCGCGTGCATCACAAACCTCAACGGCCGAGGCCTTCCTGCCAGATGAGAGCCCATTGTGGTGGTGATGGGACATCATCGTGGCAGGCGGGGGTGGCTGCAGCGGCGTTCCGCTCGCGATGTGGTCGATGTGCCCCGTCGAGGCACTGATCTTCCCCACGATGTGCTGATGATGATGATGTAGCTGCTGCTGGTGCTGCTGCTGGTGCTGCACCCCCCCGGGCCCTCCCACCACGCACAGCCCGTCCACCCGCCCGATGGCACCGGCCACTCCGGCCCCCACGGACGTGGGCAGACTGGACAGCGAGTTGCGGCCCGAGTCCGACAGGAGGCACTGTCCCGCGGCAGCCACGTGCTGGCCCACGTTCTGGTAGAGGCCCTCGGTGGAGCTCCACTTGCTGGGAGGCGCGATCGAGTTGGGCACGGCGCACTTGACCTGCTCCAGCGGGAAGATGCCCTTGAGGGGTCGAGGCCCCGAGGTTTGCGAGGGCCGCTGGGTGCTGCTGCCGCCGCCACCACCACCACCACCGCGGGAGGACCCGCCGCCGCCACCGCCGCCAGACAAAGTTGTCGCCGCCGGCTTGAGGGCGATGGGACGGATGAGCTTCTTCTCCACACTCTGAAACAAAATGGGTGGTGGTGGTGGGAGGGTGGAGGAGGTACGAAGGATGAAGGCGGAGAAACGAAAACAAATAACTGTCAGAGAAAACAAAAGCAACCTTTGTGTTGCGTGGAAAGACGCTACACGCACGCTACGCAGGTTATTGCCAAAACGTGGATTAATCTAAAAAGTATTTTTTGCCTAGAGCCTCTCACCGTTATGAATGTCACGGCGTCGTGCGATCCTTCTGAATGCTGACCGATCGGATAAGCGAGTTTTAACTTGCCCCACCGCCGCGGCCGAAAATTCGGTCATTTCATTGGAATGTGGGCGGCATTGATAAGCCGCGTCAGTGAGGCGGCGGCGTGTGGCCATTGTCTGGGTGACGGGTGACACCTGCAACCGCCCACAGGACTGGCTGTCTCCACCGCGCATTTTGCCCACAAAGGGACTCGTTCCACTGCAGTGTAAACACCACAACACCGCTTGGCCACTGCAATTAAGATGAACGTTTGGCAAGCAGCCGGGGTGAAACATTTTTTCAACGTGACGGTTGTCTTCTGCCCGTGTTTAAGAGTAATACTTCATGACGTTAATATAACTCTGAGCAAAAGTGTTACCGATTCGATGAATTGAGTATTTGTATTTACGATATTTGTACTTACAAATACTTACACATTTTCATCGTTTCTGTGCAGGGTGGTCTTTACAAAGAAATGTATATTCGCAGCCAATGGAATGAGCGAGCGTGCGTTTCTGCATGTAAGCAATCAATTACTGCTGACAGGCGAGGAAGGAACGCGTGCGATGGATGGAATTTATGAAGACGCCGTGAAGAATTTCAACAAGGGCTTACACAGTAAGTGCAGTGGTTTCCTTCACCTAGGTGAATTTGCTTACGCGTGGCTTCGTTCACTAAACAATACAGCCCAGGAACACCCTGGTGGTGCATGTCCACAATACGTAGGGTGAATAATGAGACAAAGTGACAAATGACCTTTGCATTTAATCCAAAAATAACTTTTAAAAAACCTGCTCGGCTCACGCTGTGCTTATTTATAAAATATGAACACACGGTATTATTATTATTATTCATCTTTACTCAGGAAAATGTATGAAAACTTCAGACTTAAATACGTTATATTTATGTAAGTTTTGCTCGCAACGTTACAATTCTTTGTTTTTTATTCATGCAGTAAAAAATGGATGGGGCGGTGGTGGTACAGTGGTTCGAACTCTGTGATATACATTCAGTGGACCCGAGTTTAATTTCCGGCCGTGGCTAATAACATCAGTGACGAGCGATATCTGAATTGAATTGGCATCGGGTATCCGTCCTCACCAACCCACACTGACCGATGTGGTGCAGTCGGTCAAACAACCCCCACGCTTGAAAGGATGTGCGGGAGAGGGGGGGGGTTACATCCAACAGTGGCATGAAAAATGGCTGTAAACTATTATTCTTAAATAACCTTGATGTACATTAACATGCATTACAACCACCAATGCAATCTTCCTTAGTTGTGGTGCATTCGGGTTTTGTTAATGCGGGGGGTGTCTGTGGAGAAAAGTTTGGGAAAGGCCCTTAATGATGAATCTGTTGCAAAAAATTGAAAACCACAAAATGTACCATAGCTGCCTTTTTAACAGAAACTGTCAAGGTGATTTCTAAAAAACATGTTTTTATTATTTTCAGAATACAGTTCTCCCCGCTAAAAATAACCTTCATGTTTGTTTATGCAGATGACAAGGATGTTTAACAAGTTAGGGCAGGCCCTCGTTACAAACAATACAGTGAACTTAAACTCCTCCACCCTAACGCCTTCGGTAAACACATTTCTGAAATGCTATTAGAATTAAATAACAAACTACTTCCTATGAAAAAGCACCCCAAAACACAATGAGATAGGTTGACTTCACCTCTTGGTTATTTTGCTCAAGGGGCCGTCCATAAATGACGTCACGCGAATTTGGACGGTTTTTGACCCCCCCCCCCCATCGTCACAAGGCGTCACAAAAAGTCAGACCCCCCCCCCCGCTCAAATATGACGTCACAAAGCTCTGCCCCCCCCCCCCCAAATAAAATATGCTTCAAATCGCTTTAAACTATTGTCATTGTAGTTCGTATTTAATGTGGCGCTGCACTCTGATGTTGTAGGAGAAAACATTTTATTAAAAAGTCTATTTAATTAAGTAGAACGTGTTTTTTTATATTTATTTAAAGTTGCGCACTTTGATGTGACGTCACATTTCTCAAACCCCCCCCCCCCTCGTCACACATCGTCACAAATGTCTGACCCCCCCCCCCCCAGGTGCGTGACGTCATTTATGGTATGGACGGCCCCCAAAATCTGTCACCCCTCTGAGCAAGTGTACATGTTTTAGCACCCATCAGGTTTTTTAGCTTTTCCTGCAAGGAGATACTTATTATATAATACATCAGAGATCTTATATAATGTAAATATATAATCTGAATCCTGATATTCATCCACACCATTGGAGAGGGAACGCCGTTGAGGCGAGACGGAACCACAGACACGCAATTAGGGCAGCCTGGGCAATGAGCCGGTGCCAGGAATTGCCCAAGCTCTGCAGTCCTCTATGAAACGCCTCCGAGGCGAGAGGGAACCACAGACACGCAATGACGGCAGCCTGGGCAATGAGCCGGTGCCAGCAATAGCCGAAGCTCAGCGGTCCTCTGCGTTTAAATGTGGGAGGAAACTGGAGCATCCGGAAAAAAAACCCATTGCGTGCGAGGGGAGAAACACCAATTCCAAACAGAACAGGCAGTCTGCTGTACTGCCCTCTCCTGGCAAGCCAGGGATTAGCGCCTCAACGCCAACAGGAAGGTGGCGCGGATTCACCAATCCTTGCCTCCACAGTGCTGGACAATAGGTGTGTGTGCCACAATTGCCCGCCTAAGGTTGACGTCAAATGTAAGCTCACTAACCATGGACACGAGCATACAAATAATAACAACTAGCACTGCCGCAGCTGGCGTGGGAGGTGTGACATCAGCGTGACACACGAATCGTTTCAAGGCTTCATATTCTTGGTTCTTTCGGTAAAATCACGTAGAAGGGAAATAATAAAGTAATAAAATAAAACATTTATTATATGTTTTATTTTCATTATTTTATTATTTCCCTTCTACGTGATTTTACCGAAAGAACCAAGAATATGAATCCCTGCAGTCTCAAAAGCTTTAAATCGAAACGTTTCAAGGCTGTGTGACGTAGGTGATGTCACCGCCGTGCACTTGCCCGCCTGTGGGCTAGCCAGCCAGCAAAACTTGTTTTCAAATAAAGTATGATACAACTCCGAGTAATAAACCGTTCAAGATAAGAGAAAATAAATACCTTCACAACTAATGCATTTAACAACCGTGGAACATTGAGAGTTGCCTATATCATACCAGATCATGTTTAGGATGTCAGTCAGTATAAACGCCAAAAGGCTCAGTCAAACTGAAGCGACTTGTCAAAAAAATCTAAGAGCAGCGGGAGAAACCTCGCAAGCCGTCCTGAACAGCCACCTTGTTCAAATATATACTTGTTCACACATTTTTAAAATTTAATTTATGTCGTTTTTACGCAGTACAAGGAGTAAAACAGCTTTGTGTTGTGCCACCTTTTCAAGGGCGTCATGAGGCATTTGTACAGACAAAGAGGCAGCAGCATAAAAAACAACTTGCGATGATAAAGGAAATTTAAATGATGCATAAGAAGGCACGAAGAAGTGCAGCACACCACAGCGAACATCCCGCTCACACGTGTAGATAATTGCGCACTGCTAAAATATAATTAAACTTCCATTCACATATAGGAATAGGTTTTACCCTTTTAACTGGCACAAAAACTGACACCTTTATTCAAGCCATCATGTTTGCAATAACCACAACACAAGCAGTCAAAATGCAAACAAAAAAGACAACTCTGATAATAATATGCACTGTCCTTGAATTTGATTGGTCCACACCCGAGACAGCTTTTCTTAGAGCCTAGTCTCCATTGGTGTTGGACCAGAAGACGCCAAAAGGCGTACAACTCAAAAACAGCGCACTATCAGAGTATTGAGGGCTCGGGGTGAGCATTTACATTATGAGACCTCCTTTGCCAGAAACAAGATATAGGAATAGGTTTTACCCTTGCATATTATTATCAGAGTTGTATTTTTGTTTGCATTTTGACTGCTTGTGTTGTGGTTATTGCAAACATGATGCCTTGAATAAAGGTGTCAGTTTTTGTGCCAGTTAAAAGGGTAAAACCTACTCCTATATCTTGTTTCTGGCAAAGGAGGTCTCATAAAATTCCATTCACATGTTACGAATGTCACTTTTGATTTCCCACACCGCAATGTGAAAATATCAATTTGTAGTGAATGTCAATGGCTAACCCTATTTATTCTTTAAAGCAGGGTTCTAAAACGATATTTTATGGTGGGCCACATAATAAGATTGCAATGTGCTGGCATCGTGTACATGTGCCTACTAATCTATGCCCGTGTCTTCAGGTCTATCAGATCTCTTGTTAAATCTGTATCTCTTGTATACAGCTCTCTCATCTATATCTATTGTTTTCTATTTTTAATATCCGTATATCTCCGTCCACCTGCGAGCCAAATCTCTTGCTGGGTCACAGTTTGGTTGGCCACTCCCAATAAATAGCCTTCACAGGCCACATCTGACCTGCCGGCCGCCCAGTTGAAGAACCCTGCTTTAAAGGCAGGGCAAAGATGAATACACGTATCTTTCTAAACTCCCTGTTGTGATAACGCATTGACTTCTCTGCTCACCTTTTCCAGCCTCCCGGAGATGGGCACGATCTTGGGCGGAGGCCCCCGTATGTCCTTGATGAGCGGCACGCCGGCCACCTGCACTCCGCCACCGCCGCCGCCCGCGCTGCCGTCGGCAGGCTCCATCGCGCCCCTCTCGTCGCCCCTAAGGCTGCCGCTGTTGAGCTGCACGTACTCGCCCTGCCCGAGTCCGTTGGCGCCGCCCAGCCTCTCGGCTGCCGACCGCTCGTCCTTGATGAGCCGAGCCACGGCCGGCTTGGCGGCCGCGACGCGCTCCTCGCTCAGCAGGTTCGCCACCGACTCCTTGGAGGAGAAGCCCTTCTTGAGCAGCCCGTTGCGCTGCAGCAGACCCTGCTTGAGGTGCGGCGCACGGCCCGCGTTGCTGCGCAGGCCCTTTGCTCCGGCGTGCTGAGGTCCGCCGCCGCCGCCTCCGCCGCCGCCGCCGCCGCCGCCCGAGATCAGGCTGCTCACGCTGCCCATGTTGCCAACGCCGCAGCCGGCCCCGGCGCTAGCGGCGGCGGCGGCGGCGCTTTGCGCGAGGCTGGGATCGGAGGCCGAGGTTCGCAGGGGCGCGGCCGGTGGCGGTGGCCAAGCCCGGGACTGCGTCTGTGCTGGCGGTGTACGTGGAGGTGGAGGCTGCCGCACGCCTTGCCGGCGGTCGGAGAGCAGCGGCGGTGGAGAGGCAGGGGACGTGGACTCAGCCGAGAAGAGAAGCAGAGCCTGGAGCATGGCCATGCCGAATGCTGGACGTCACTGGGGACCAAGCCGGACTCACTGGCAACAATAAGACGGGGGGGAGCGTTATTTAAGGGGTAACATAAGAAGAGCAGCAAATTACACCGAATTCAGCCTTCAGAATGTGGAGGGAAACTACAGGGTGAGTGCTTTGGAAAGTTATGGTATGCATCGCCTTTGTTGAGCACTCCGAGTTATACGTTTAAACTTACACAAACTCCCCTGAATCTCCACTATACCTGTAAGACGAGTTATTGATACGTTCGAGTTAAAAGTATGGCGCTGTAATTTGGCCAGCCTAATTAAATAGCAACATTTTTTTTGAGTTGGTTTTCTCCATGACCTTTTGCAGCCTATTTATTGTGCACATGCCGTAGAAATAATTGGCAAACGATAAACCTATTTATGACAAACTGATGTAGAATGGTTAAGATGGAATAAGGATGGAATGTGGTACATTGCTCCTCTGGTAATGAAAAGACAACTCTTCCGTGAGGTTGGTAATTGCTCTCTCGGTTAAAGAGTCACGACTCCCTGCACATTTCCACGTTGGCAGACTACGGCCAAGAGTCCCTCCTTGTCTCATGCCTTTATCCTTGGCCTCGTCATGGACACACACACACACTTTAGCGCATGCTCCTTCCATGAGATCCAACTTTATTCAATAATCTTAGTGCCAGTTCAGCACATAGCGCGTACATGAGATCCAACTTTATTCAATGATCTTAGTGCCAGTGCTATAAGCAAGTGAAACTAAACTTTTTTTTTATACTTTTTGGCTCTTTCGTGACTTTACTGAAACAACCAAAGAGTATGGATCCCTGCAGTCACGAAAACTTCAAATCTATATTTTTTATTTTACCAGGTAAGGCCCACTGAGCCACAGCAAACTCCAAATATACAGGCGTCAGGATCGGGATCGAACCCGCGATCTCCTGCATACCAGGCGAGGAAGTTAACCCCTCACTCCCGAGGTGGGCACCGTGCCTCAATGCCTAGGACTAATTGTTGGATACTGAAATAAGCGGTGGCGGCAGGTGGCTCAAAATATTTGGCGAGGTGGTGCTGCAGGCGCCTAAACAGCCATCTTGCTGTGCGCTGAACCCATCAATTTGAGTTCAATTCCTGGCTATGGCGAACAAGAGTGGGAAGTACAATCTGACACCGGTCCTGGGCCACTCCTTCACCAACCCATAATGGCCAGAGTGGTGAAGTATGCTCAAGACCGACACGGCATGGGGAGGCCTTTTTACAGCAGTGAATTGACGAATGGGCTTAATAATTAACAGACAGAAAGACAGATATTTGCATGTGAAATACAAATATCTATCAGCATAAGGGACTTTCACACCAGTGCTTCACAGCAGCATTTGTTTAAACAAGTAAACTCAGGACTGGCTCTTACTCTTGTTCTCAATCAGCGGAATCAGGATTATTAAACGACAAGTGCTGGGTTACCAGGTATCACATTCAAGATCTCTGCACTTTGATGTTTGGGGGTCCGGTCACCACAATGACAGTCAAACTTCGTTGTGGTTCGTGTGCGTTGTGGTTGAGAATCGTGGGAAAATAAATAACTAATGATGACCGTATTATTAGCTTTGTACACTTTTGAGGGGCACACTTTTCACGGAGCGCTATTTACTGTAACATCTGGCAAACCCAGCGCCAATGTGCTGATGAAACTCGGTAAATCGAAATGGGCTCGGTTTTTCTGATGGAAAACACTGGTCCACCCACTGGCTGATGAACAAAAAAAACACACCGCAAAGAAGGGCTTCCTGTCCGTCCATGATTTATGTGTTACCCTTGGATCTACACCACAACGCACAATGAGTTTCATACATTTATTCAACTCATTGTTCTGGATCACTGGAATTTAGACGTAACATTTGTCAACCCCAAGCAAGTGTGTGGATGTTTTGAAAGCTGGACTATTATGTAAAATGCCCAACTGTGCTCACATCGTGGGATAAGCTTGGATATTCGGCCATCATCACCAATGACCAGTAATTACTCAAAGGACATGCAGGGTATGATTTTCCATTATTTGACATAAGTTTATATTTTTTATTTAGCTTCAGGCAAGACACAGACTCCACATTTCGATTATATAAATTGGAGGGTATTAAAATGCTTTAATAAATATTACATAATTTTAAGAAAATGGCACAGCAATTGAGGGAGTCGCGGAGGCATTAAGCACGATTCATTAATATTTATGTAAATAATTAACGCGAAATCACTCGGCCACAAAAAAGTGCTGTTTTTGTTGAAATAAATTAAAGCTGTAATGCATAAAATTACCCGTCGCCAGACCCAAATAATAAGTATTAACTTCGCATTTTTTTTTTTGCCGAATGTTGTGGGGGTTTCCATGTCTTTGGTTCACCGGCTTGCCATATGGTCTGAACGAGGAAGAAGGTGCACGGCACCACAGGCCAGCACCCTCGTACATGCGTGTGCGTGTGCGCACTGTGACGTCCCCCGCGATGTAACACAACACTGAAAACCAACATATGGCCTCGCGCGCTACTGCCACCGGAAACTGTAACTTCGTTACTACGACGGGGGGGGGGGGGGGGGGGGGGGGTGCATGGTAAGGTGGGGGGGGGCAGAAAGCACATGGCACTCAGTAAGTATGTCACTGTCACTCTCCCTACAAGACAAAGATCCCCTGTGTAGCCTTCACAGACTGTTTGGGGGAAGCGCTGCTGGCACAGTAGACGAGGGGGTGGGTGGCCAGCATCACGCCCGGCCGCCTTTGTCTCCCAAATGGCGACGTTTACACACTACACCAGGTACTCATTTGAGGCTAAGTCCACCTAGGGGAGGCCCACGACCGGTTCAAATAATCGTCACTGCTGTTGGCCGTGAGCAGGAATCGAACTCGGGTGACCGGATTCGTCGCGCAAAGCGCAACAGCTACACTACCGCTCCCCTCGCGCACACACTGGCAGATGGTAACAGACGACGATGATGAATACTAAACCTAAGAAAACATCCAAGATTTTACTTTCTTCTCCAAACTCTTGCTCTTATACCGGTTTGTTGCCATGACATCATCATAATAAAAACCTTTCCAGAGCTTTGCCTACCCATTGATGGGAGTCCCATGCTGTGTCACGGCCATGGGGGTCGTTTGACCATGTTTCACCGCGTAGATCAGTGCGGATTGGCTGAACGGGGGGGGGGGGGGGGGGGGGGGGGGCACTAAGTACCAGTTCGGGCGTCACCCATCACTCACGTTTTGCTCTGGCTGGGAGTCAAACCCATGTCGGTGGGATCAGAGCGCAGTGCGCAAAGGCAAGACATAATCGACCTCATGGTACAATTCTGTACGTATTACATTAATAATTTGAAGTTAAACAGCAGAGGGGTTGAGCCGTGATAGGATGGGTGACCACCGGACGTTTGCAGGTGTTGTACTTTTAAGGCGGCGAGTTGTCCAGGTGATGGTAGTGCCGAGCGTCATATCCACGTTTCCTCCAGGTACGCCACTTGCCTCTAACATGAAGTCACTCGTTAAATGGTACCGACCAAACATCTCAATGCCGGTCCTTCCTGATTTTTCATACAAATTTGCATTTGTGAGTTACTGTACTACACCTGTACTCTTTGGTTCTATTCGGTAAAGTCACGTAGGTAAAGAAATAAAAAAAAATCACGACGTTTTGGCCACAACACAAGCGGCCTTCATCAGGTGAAGGGACCAGACTATCTCGAGGACAGCGCTGGAGTGAAACACAGCCACTCCAGCGCTGTCCTCGAGATAGTCTGGTCCCTTCACCTGATGAAGGCCGCTTGTGTTGTGGCCGAAACGTCGTGATTTTTGTTGTTTTATTTTTTTACCTACGTGACTTTACCGAATAGAACCAAAGAGTATGGATCCTTGCAGTCACGAAAGCTTTAAATCTAGAATTGAATGTACTACACCTTTTGGAGAAGAGATCAGTGCACAAGTGGTCAGTGTGCGAGGGCGCCGAGGTGGCGGGATGTTGACTACCTGGGAGTTTGCTTGTTCTCCCTGTGGTTACGTGGATTGTTCTCATGGTCCTCTGGTTTTTGTCTCCACATTTAGAAACATGCGTTTAGAGTATTTGCCTGCTATAAATTTCCACATGATAAGCTATCATTTGTGGCCAGCTCGCTTCTGAAAAAGAGCTATATAGCTCAATGGGCCTTACCTGGGATAATTAAAAACAGTTTTTTTTAGTTTATAAAAAAAATTTACACTGAGAATATGTCCCGGTTTTTTTCATACATGAAATGTGCACAATCGCAGTCACATGAGGCGAGCACCACCCGATGTCTGCCAATGCAGCTGGTGCCGTCCCATAAACATTCCCGTGACTTGCACAGGTGCAGGATGTGAATTCCCTACGGTGCCACCATATCTCACTCGGGGAGCTCCGTCGCAAAAAACAAAATCTCACAAGCCACAGTGGTGGAAGAGGAATGGGGCAAGTCCAGGCCTCGTGGGGCAGGGCCCAGGCAGCCTTTTCAAGACGGCCACGCTTCTCCATTCACGTGTGAAGTGGATTGCAAGTAGTAAACCGCGCTTCCTAATTGGATGACATTGAAAGACTGAGCTGCGCCTGGCCCATGGGGCCTTGCGTTGCCTATTCATGCGCTCCACAGTCGGTTGGGAATTTTTACGTGACAGTTCTGTAGCTATAATTACGTGCACTGTACATGGTTTTTGTTTTGTTTTCATCTGGTAAATTAAATTGCTAGTAAATGTACAGAACCCATTTATATTATACCACGTGATATGTGAAGAAAGTAATGAATTGGATTTTGAGTACAGTAGCCTATCTGAAACATATATATGGTAACGGACTGTAAACTGGATACTGTTATTATAACTATCGAACATGGACATTAATATCTAACACTTGTCAACCTTAAAATACCCCTTGTAAGCGTTCTTACATTTTTAACGGTTGAGCTAAACATTTTGTCCAATTTTCTTTCTTAAAGCAGATCATATTTAGGTAATCGTTTCGAGTCTTCTTGCGACCCCAATAATTAAATCACAGTTTAAAGGCCTTTAAGTCTCCCATCTAATATAAGCTAGCGCTGCAGGCTCAAGTAATACGTATGAAACACGGGATTGCAGTTTGAATGGCTACAACGTCACTTACAAAAAAAACACAGATTAAGGGGCTCCATTTGTCGGAACGAAGAACCAAATGTTCAGACCTCAAACAAACAAGGCACAACGCTCTTCTGGCCAAGCACTCAAGGGGGCACCATACATTCTACTTCAAAAAAGGTTTGGGGGGGGGGGCTAATTCAACACAAAGGGTACAAGGGAAGTGATGGAAGCCACCCATTGCCTCTCGTCACTACCAAACCGCACGGGTCACCGCACAATATTTACTCCCCCAAGCATGGTTGAGAAACTGTGCCCTGATAAAAATGACAACGTGCGAGTTTGTTTCAAGAGTTAGGGCCATTTTTTTGAGCACGCCAACTCGAGGTATTCACCAGAAACAAAGGCGAGCACGCAACTTAAACTTGTGCATCAACGGGCACAGCAATAGGCCTCATAAGAGTATCTAAGAAAAAAATATAACCATCAACAACAACAAAAAACACTTCCACTTTGCCTTTCCTGCGAGCCTACAAAGGCAAAACGTTCCAAAACAGCACACGCACAAAGCAGCTCTTGTGAGCTTAACACAAAAAAGCCCCTCAACCCGAACACTTGGACACGCCCCTCTACCCTTTTTCACTAATGACCTTCCACAAAATGGTGCCAACAACTCAGGTGTGATATTCTTCTCCAGCGCTCCCATACACAACCCATGTTTCTCTCCTCCATCCATCCCGACTTCCCACCTCCCATCCACGTCGACAGGGACAATCGGAGCCTTTCATTACCCCCGTGCCCCATGCCTCCCTCCCTCAATCTCCTCCCCAGCCCACAAAATCATCCAAAAACATTCCTTAAAAACACACACACACGCAAGCAACACACGCAAGCAACACACGCACCTGCCACGTGCCAACTGAGTGAACCCGATGGAAGAAGGCTCCACACAGCCGGCATCGACAGCAAGTTGCCAAGCCTCAGGGAGAGAGTTGCAGTCGCACAGTCAAAGCGCACCGGCCGCTCTCAAGGTTAGGATAAACTTGTGAAGGTATTAACTGAAGCGGGACTCTTTATTTAGGATTCACAGATTTTAGTGTCTTTTCCTATTCATTGTGGATTTAAACCGTCACCTTGCCAAAAGAAGCCACGCACCACTGTAAAGGACATTTTTTTTTTTTGCAGACTAGGTTTGGTACGTTATCCATCTCACATTTTATGACCAGCTTTAAAGTGTGTTTTAACGTTATGGCATCACAGTCATTCCACTACAGTACAGTACGAGTACGGTTCTGTACTTTGACAAGCAATTCCATGAGAAAAGCAGAAAAAAACTGAATTCTTGTTGGCATATATAAAACAAATCTAAACATCCGATCCAAATCACACAACGCTTTAGAGCGAAACTGCAGTTTGATGTAATGACAGTAATAATTACCATAATGTCCATTAACTATGATCCACTAAAGAACTCGGCAGAGCTGCCTGAAAGTACTGGATTGGATTACCTAAGAAAGATTTCGTCCTTTTGACAACTTAAGCAGTAACTTGTTGCAACACGAGCAAAATAAAAAAGAACCACTATGCCGCAATTTCAGCACTACATCTCCATTGGCGCATACCGATGTTACTAACCATTCATTTCCAAGCAGAAAACAAATTCCTTGTAAGCGTCACCTCTTTTATCCGCTGACCACGAGCACGTATGTTGCCCGTGTCTCCCGTCTCCGGCTGCCCCTTCCACACGTGAACATCTCAAGACACAAAGCCCAGCGCGCGGCTGGGCTCTGTTTGTCCACTTCCCGTGCAGCCACGCAGTCATGCAATGCCCCTACAGGGCAACGAATGAGAGAGGAGGAGGAGGGGGAAAACACAGCTCGCCACCGCCGCTACTTCTCCCTGGCCCCTATCAGGCCAGCCTCTGCCTGGATTTGGTTGACTTCCTGATTGGCCAGGCCACGCGAGGGTTCACGAGGGAGGAGGAGTGGCCACTTGCACTGGTGGCCGCTTGTGCGGACCGTCAAGACGGCAGAGTTGTGCTGACGGATCGAACTGGGATGTTTAGTTCTCCTTCTTAGTTTATTAGGCAAAAAGGGTGTGCAAATATGAGCAGGGTGCATTTTTTGTTTCTTTCTCTCCAACGCTTGGGAGGCAAGAGTGACCACTGCGCTGGCGTGTCAAATAATGTCAGCTTTCAGAAACAAATGTGCATTTTGAGATAATAATATGAATGTTTTCAACCAATCGCATTTTCAATAACACCTCCTCGCTTCGCATTGTCCCGGCAGCAGTTATTGATGATAAACTGCATCAGGACTTCCCATGGGCGACCTAAAATGTCTGATGCACAAGTGGCAATTAAAAAAGAATTCCCATTCCAACTGTGGCAAACTCCATGCAATCGAAGTCTCCCCTTATATTGACTCTCCGGCAGACGACATAAATTGATTCCGCATGCGATGTTCTTGACTAAAACATCAAAACCTGATCTACCCACTTAAATGTTGCTATTGCCATGCGACAGAATAATCTCATCATTAGTTGCTGTTAGTTTTTGTTGTTGTGTAAATTCTAAGGGATGGATAAACTTGGCACTGGCGACTGGAGTGGACAGCTAAACGTGAGCTCTTTCCAATGGCACCAGAGCCCCAACGTAATTAGACTGATCAGCACTGATCGATTTTGGTAATTGCCCACTGAAACCAGACACTCCTTTTGCTTGTTAGGGTCCTAGATTGGCTCAAGGACAATTACCACAATCATTATTGTTGTTGTGTTTTTCTCCAGGTGCGCCTTCCACTAATTATGTACCCATACACTCACGTGACCAATTCCTTTAACATGAAGATGCAAGTAAAACTGATTATATATATTTTTTAAAAACCTGTCATACGCCGAGTGGCGATGATGTACGATGGTGTAATGACATGGGCACGAAAGAAGAGCACAAGAAAGGACAGAAATACGACGCTGGCGATGGATGTTGGGAATATCTCGAAGGGAAAGAAGGTTGAATGAAGAAGTTAGAGCCTTTACAATGGTCTCTAATATTCTCAAGAATATTAGAGAGGTCGAGGCTTAGCATGCTGAAAAGAGACGATGGTTTGATCGTTGTGTTCAGAAGAAATGGAGTGTGAAGCTACCAGCACAGGGCAGGAGTAAGAGAGAGACCGGGTGTAGGATGTAAGCATTTGGCAGAACGGGATTGGAGGATGGTGGATGTGACTAGAGAAGGACGCACATAATCATGGTGCACGGAGAAAAACAATCCGAACAGCTGTCTCTCCCATGCACTAATGGGACTTGTGGTTAAAAAGAAGAATTTTCATTTCAAGGGATATAAACCTGCCATTTAAATTAATTAGCATTATAATGCTCTGAGTGCACGGGTAGTGTAAATTAAAACAGTTTCGTTTTATTTGTATATTCTTTAAGCGACTTACTCGCCTATCCTATACTTTGCACTCCTATCGTGTTTTTGTACTGTTTGTTGTTGTAACGTTCTGACCCACTCCTACTGGATATCTGCAAAAAATAACTTTATCAGCTCATCGGATTCCTCCAGTATAAATACATATCCTGATTCTGAATGTAATCAGCGTACGCATAAACTCCTCTACTCCAGACTTAAACGGACTCAAAATGACTGCTTTATCGTTTGCGAAGAAAATGCTCCAGATCGATAGGCTACAATCAAATGAAATGTTACAATGCAAATTCATTCATATTTAGTCCCCACAGTGTAAGATTTTATTTCTGAATTCATCACCGTAAGTATTCTAGCTTTAAGATGTGGCAAATCTTGTCAATTTTGGACACCCACGTGCAGTGCCCTACTTTTGCCGAATGACGGCACTCTAGATGGCACAATTTTTGTTTAAAAAAGTGTTCTGCAGAAAATCCTAGGCAGCAAAGAATCCGAACCGCCAAATCTGACCAAAGCGGCTCATTGGCAAGCTGAGTGACTTCTTTCGTTGTCCTTCCCCCGCACCTTCGATTAGCGCGGTTGGCTACGTAGGGTGCGAAAGAAGTTCTACTTACATACTTACGATGCTATCCCAGCCACTGATGTAAATTTCAGCCAGGAACAAATGCGTTCTACGTGGCTGAGTTGTGTATGCATGTCAAGACCAAAATACACCTATACGTATGCACCGTATGCATGCATGCGTGCAGGGAAGGGGCACGGCTTGCAGACTGTGCGGTTGCAAGTGATGCGCAGGTCTGTGCCAACTGGCAATCTCTCTCTCTCTCTCTTAGTCTTAAGTCTGCACCACCAACGCCGGTCATCGCGCCAATGATAGCCGAGTGTTATTGCTCAGCGGCAAAAACAATAACATCGTATGCATGCTTTTGTTAAAAAACAAAAAATCCTGTTGCAAGAGTGAAATACCGTTTAGCGACGCAGCTTGGAAGTATAATTGTTTAAAAAAACATCAATGCGAATTAAAAACCTTATTTACTTCTCAATCTTCTGATAATTATTTGATATGCATTGGAACATTTTGCCTTCCGGTGATTCAATCGATCGTCACAATTTGAGGCCATGATTCCATTCAAGAGTTGGTTATATTATCACGATTTTATAACGGTCTCGTTTGTATTTTGTCGTGTTTTTTTCTCCTTTACACAGTTTTCTTTTGTTCCAATGGCCAAAATGTAAAACTCGTAGAATAAGTAATTTGTATACAGTATACATACATTGTAAATTATGGATTATCCCACTTATTAATTGGTGTGTGCATTTCAGGAAAAACAACTGATGACGATTGACTGTAAAATACAAATGAATTAGTATGTCCAGCACGCATACATGTCCTAAATTTAGTACATCTGACAGAAGGACACGTTACCATCAAAGCGCAACAAACGTAACCAGAAGCACACTTTAGCATTACGCTACCATGTGTTTTGGAGCTGTAAGTTTAAACATATCTCAGTACATGAATGAGCACGTTTAAAAGCAATTTTTTTTCATCAAGCATGACCCCGTAACCAATCAACGAGCGTGTGAACAACTTTCAAGCATTCTTTATCTCCACTCGTGCCTGCATGCACACTTGGCACGATTTATTCGCATTCTCACAAAAAGCCACTGCCACCTGACGTTTGCCAAGCTCATGGTGATGGGTATCAGTTGTTGTGCTGGACGATCAGTCGCCATGCTAAAACACTGTTCCCTCTACTCATTGCCTGCGCGCTGCATAAAAAAAGCTAAAGGCGCAGCCCTGAAATGCTCGCTCACGCTACTGCTGGCAGAAGGGTCTCCGAACTTGAGGAAAGTTCTCGAAGACGCACTCTAAAACAGGTATTTTTTTCCTGCTCCTACACGCTGGGCAGGTGTCTTCGAAGAGCTGGGAGTACTGCACCTACACATACCCCAATCAAACACGACAATGCCAATTGACCAACTGTAGTGAACAGAGGTGGCGAGATTTAACAAACTTGCAGATTGTTTCAAGTGCCACACTGGGAGGAGGTTGAACCGGTGAACTCTGCATTGCAAATCCGCTGTGCCGACCCACGACACCATGGCGGCATGCTTCAGTGACCTATTCAAATGGGTTGCAGAGCCCACTGTGATCATTAGGACTGGACTCCTTGTGTTTTGACATCGCTCTTATCGGTAAATGAAAATGAAACCTCCCAAGTTCAATTATCTACAGGTGGTGCGCTTCACTTTGCGTGACGAGCGAGGGCAGACACACAGGTCTACTTGCTTGATATTCATTCAGAATCTTGTCTGTCAAATGGGATTTATAAGTGAAACAGCTGCGCTCTGCAAAATAAAAGAGCTAGCTCTAAAAATAATAACCCCGGGGCATGTACTCTCACTAAAACTTAATTATAATTATGCACCATTGTTGAACACTGTGGGTCCACGCGTAAACATAACTGTTGATCGGCCTATGGGTCCATTCGGATTGTACTTTTACGACGTAAAAATCAACTCCCAAAAACGCCTCCCCACCCCATCCCCAATTGGACCGCCCTGAGATTGCTTGGTAAAGATCCCCGGCCACCCAAGGGCTGTCCAAGGACCCTGGTGCTGCCCCCGTTTGCCCCTGGTCGCCCGTTGCCGTCCGCTGGGCCTTGGCTGCTTTTGTCGCAGTGCTGAACCCTCTCCTCTCTCACGACCTCAACTCCAATCCCCCCCCCCCTCACCATGCCAAATGTTTCACCTTTGCAATGCGTCTCGGGATGCGGTTGCATTGAGCCACTATGTAAATTGATAAATACATTTTTTTTAAACGGTGAACGCACCATTATAACAAAACCTAGCAGGTGAAATATAAACGCACGCCAGACAACCGCCTTCAAAGGTACGCCAATTGTCTGCCACAGGCGAGAAGGATTGCTGGGTTCTATCAGTGTGACCACAAAGGCAAGCAGTTAGAAGCTACTTAAAACACCAGGGTGGGGAGGCTGTGGGGAAAGTGCAGCTTTTGTAGATGAATGACATTCAATTCGAGACAGCCCCGTGCCCTGTAGCCTTAACTTACTCGCAAGTTAGCTTTCAAAATCAGGTTAAAACAATGCACCGCTGTACACCTGTCATACAAGTCACGTTACGTTAATGCTGCAATGTTAAAGCGGCGAGCTGGTGAGCAGTGCACGACCCGCAGAAGCAAAATGTGCAATGCCACGAGGGATTTAACACACATGCACAGCAAACGTAAGTGGCACATTGCCTTTCACCAGATCACGAGACAGCTCGTCTAATCAGTTGACAATCTGCATTATAAAATCAGGCTCACTTGCTGCACGTGCACTCTGCACGGCAACAATTGTTGCGCGTCAAGACAGTCGATTGACACACCAGAGCAAAGGAGAAAGAGACCTGCAGGAAACGACACGCAGGAGTGTTTCAAAAGCATCTGCAATGGCCTACTAAACCTCGGCATTCTTCATGGAAGTTGTCCTTCAACACTTACTAATTACCACTTACGTGGTTGCTGCATTTTTTTTTATGTTTCAGCCGCAAAATAAATGACGACAGACTTGAGTGAGTGACCATGTCATGATATCCATTGGAAAGAAGACGCACAATAACTGGTGTGTGAATGTGTGTGTGTATGTGTGTATGTGTGTGGGGAGCGGTAGTGTAGTGGATAGCGCGCTGCGCTACGAAACCCGGCGTCCCGAGTTCGATTCCCGCTCACGCCAACACCGGTGACGATTATTTGAACCGGGCCTGGGCCTCCCCTAAGTCGAATCCGCCTTAAATGAGTACCTGGTGCGATGTGTAGTAAACATCGCCACTTTGGAGACAAAGGCGGCCGGGCGTGGTGCTGGCCACCCACCCCCTCGTGTGCCGTGCCGGCCTTCATAGTTGCTCGCTAACACCACTTCCCGAACAGTCTGTTCAGGCTATACAGGGGATCTTTGTCTGTGTTTGTGTTGCAACCCCAGTTCGATGCCCGCTCACAGCCACTATCGGTGACGAATATCTGAACTGGTTCTCACCTAGGTCGACTCAGCCTTAAATTATTAATTAGTGTAGTGTGTAAATCAGTCGTGGTTTTGGACACCCACTTTCACATGCCCTTGATGGGTGCTCGCAAACAGCACTTGCCCAAACAGTCTGTTGAAGGATATACAAAAGATCTTGTGCTTGCAACTGGTGTGTGTGTGCATGCATGCATGCACGTTGTTGAGGCTGGTTAGGATTTAAGTGGGATAGATTATCTCGTGTTGTTGCATTGCTCCTTTGTGTAGAAGCACTCTGCTGATAACACGGAGAAAGTCAAAACGAATTAAAGGGTTAGTCTGCTTAAAGAAATGCATGAGCAATGGTTTTTGCAAGGCCCATAGGTGAGAGGCGAAAAGAATAATGTACTTTTATTTTCTATGCAGAGATTAAATATTTTGTCTGATTTATGTGCATAGCACACGTTTTTAAGAATGCATCATTAACTCCCTCTCACTTACCTTTCACTCGGGGTACAATCTTAGGTGTACTATGCGTGTGGGGCCATTATGTTCTCTCTCCAGTGGTGGCTTTGAGATAGTGGAAATTATACTTTTCTAATGCCAGGGGCCCTTCTCCACTGTGGCAGAGACCACCTGCAACTTCCGCACGGTGCAACTCACACACTGGGAGTAATTGAGCAGCTGCATAACTTGCTCGAGTCCATTAAATTAAATCCAGGATTTTCGATCCCCCCACAGCGGTGTAATTTTCCTAATGGCTCTACCTGTTGACTTGGCACAGCAAATTACCTGAAGAAACATCACCACAACTGTTTTTCCCAAGTGCCGTGAAGAAAAATGTATGTATGTTGAACATCCTCCGCACCGTACGTAGCCAACCGTGCTAATCAGATTTGCGGGGGAAGGACAGCAAACTAAACACAAAAAGCAGTTCTAAAGAACCAAAAAAAATCTCATGTGCGTGGGCTGAGAAACAAACAGGTTAGGGCAGATAGGGCAGGCAGGCAGGCACCCATCACTCTCCATTGACATTCGTTGAGCGAGTAGCAGATCACGACCCATATGGCTGGGAGACAGCAGGATAGCGGACAGAAAGGTGGGAGAGAGGGGCGAGCAGTGTTCACGCCTGCGGTCGTCATGCACAGTTGACAACAACAACAAGGCTGCAGCCACAATTGCGGCCTACTATAGGCCTGGCTTTAGCAAGTACTGTCGGCAGCTAGCTGTGGTGGAAAATTTTGAAGATTGAGGCAACAGTGCTGGCTTTAGTGGGTCAATCCCTGGGGTGGCAAATTATGAGAGTGGGGGGAAAAAAGTAAATGTAAATAGTTATTTAATTATTACAAACTCGTGGGTCTAAGTGACAGCTCCACTGCCCTCTTCTCTAATAGTCAGGCACTAAACACATATAAAGGCATGGCTATATTGCCATTATGTAGGACTTGCCTAAGGCAATATAAATAAATAACAGTCCAGTCTTTTGTTTATCATGTTTAGATGGCTGCAATAATTACAACTGGGTTCACCCTGGTGGCTTTGCTCTGTCGTCCCGACAGGTCTGTTCCTTTCACCTGAAGAAGGCCACTTGTGTTGTGGCCGAAACGTCGTGCGAATTTTATTATTTTATTCTCATTCTACGTGACTTTACCGAAAGAACCAAATTAGATGGGTTCACCCTCTCTCCGTGCTCAAGTGAATCAATTAATGACAGACCTTCCCACTAAGGTGTCCGCGATTTATAATCGATATCATTTGTTTGAAATGTTGCCCGTGAAATTAATTCCACGCGTGCTATTGATGTCGTGTCAGCTCTGTTTATTGGACACAGCCGTGATGGTTATTCCAGCTGCCGCGGCTGGATCTCTTGTGCCAAAATGTCACAGGCGTCGCACGCCACCCATTTACTTCCCAGTGCTCAGAGCCATCCAATAACTCTCTCGAGATGACGGCGCTGAATGATCTGTTTAGCAAGTCCCATCTATTTATGAGCTGCACATAAACACGACTGCCCTGTAGGGTGGCACAGAGGCCACGCTTCAGTGGCCACACACAATGGATTTGATGCAGCCCTGTTGCACCTTTGTATGCCTCTGTATACCACCACAATCCCCGCTTCCTTTTAGGTATAAACACCCGTACTTAACACACTCCATAAGCACCCGTACTTAACATATACACATACATACATATATACATACATATATATGTATATATACATATATATTCATGATTTTTTTGCAGACTTTTCATAGCGTAGTAGTATAACACGGTTCAGAGTGCAAATCTATTTCAAACAAAGTTAAAGAAGACTCAAGTGGTTTTCACACGGTGAGAATGAGGATCCCGGGGCTTGGCGATGGACACACAAGTAGAACTATAAAATGTGATGCGGAAGCCAGAATACCCGGTAGGTAGATGCAGTGGTTACAGATTTGGAAGAGTGAGATTGAGAGCCAAGCAGTAAAACTGGCTAAGGAGAGAGAGAGCCACAATGGAAATGAGTTCAGCTTCATCATTGATAATACATGTATGATGATGACGATAATGATGTAAGAGCAATCAACCCGTGTAAACCGAGTACTATTATAAAAAATAATATACGAGTTAAAGTGTTTTTGACAATCTCATTTACTTCAGAATTTTTACAAGTAATAGCTGCAGGGAATATTCGCATTTGGCAGAATACCCGGCGATTGTTATAATTCACCGTACTCAGCCAAACTGATGCAGGAACAAAATTCGACTTGTAACGTTTACATGCGGCTGAAACACGCAGCAGAGTCTGGCACGCCACATTTTCCAGTGAACAATGATCCGTTGTTTTCACAATAAGCACCGGGCTTACGTCAGATATGTTCTCTGTCTGGTATCAACAAGAGAGTGCATTGTAGTGCGTCTCCGCTTGCCCTATGCGCCCGATCGTATCAGTGGCACGGAAGACAGCTTAAACCCACAATATCTGGACTATATTGAGGAAACCCCCACACACACGGTGTGGAAATGTCATCGCTCGAAAGGTTGCACTGAAAAAAATAAGATTCTAAAAATAACACGGTGATAACGGCTGTAATTACAAGAGCTGCTGAAGGTTACGTTAAGTAGATTTTTTTTTCCTCATGATGAGAGCCATGTATTTCAGTAATATACATCAAACATTACTCTATTAAACTGATGATAACTTTTTGGTAACCATAACCCCAAGTTGTGAATTATGCCATAGTCCCATGATTCATGTATACCACAGCTATATATATTAAAGAAATCGATATATTTTTTAATCTGTTCGAATTCTCAGAAAATGTAGATTAAAAAATAGACTTAAAACGCGGTAACTTTTCGTAGCTTCTGTTTGTTGCTGATTTAGAGCGTATAACATTCAAATGTTTTTGGACGAGTGCCTCTCCGTGCCATGAAGGTAGTGGAGGTTATTTGACCATACTTCACCATGCTGGTCAGTGCCGATTGGTAAATGTGGAGGTGGGACAAAACAATGGATATTGCTGCCCTCACCAGAACGCCGGCTACACCAGTTTTATGAACGGTCGTCACCCATGCAAGCGCTATCCAAGCTCATGCCGGCTTCACTTCTAAGGACTGACGGGATCGGGGCACATTCCGGGTGAATTGTTCACAAGCGGTAACAAAGTTAAGTAACTCGCAATTAATCCATTATACTACACTTTCATGTTATCAAAGTGAACGGTTCTGGCAAGCAGAGGGTCTCACTTGTGTCAGCGCGAGATGTGCGGCCAACAGTTAGGTATGTAAAGCACTCCCACGGGCTCACAAACAACGTGCCCCTTTTATTTCACCCCAAATCCGGAATTTGCCATCCCCCACGCATGGCTGCTCAGGAAGAGAGAAAACAAGACCAGAATTGCCCGAACTGAGCCACTAATCCGGCCATTATACCCAACAGCGACAGCAGGCTCGCCCAATCGGGAAAATAAAATCCCACTCTCGACTGGTGGCCGCTCACCGTTGCCCAGGGGTCGTGGCCTCTGCTCTGCATCCGCAGCTACCGCCCCTGTCCCCAAACAAAACGTCCAATTTTGTAGGGTCAGCACAATGTCTGGCCACTTATTACAAAAAAAATGATTTTCATCCTCAATGGTATTAGCATCTATGCAAAAGGAATTGTTCTTCTGTATGGCATTCAAATGGTGCTACCGTGGTATAGAAGCTTATCAATGGCCTCGCACGGTTCATGTAGCAGCAAGTTTGAGTCCCATTAAACTGTTCAAACAGATGGTGGGTTAAAAAATATATCTTCTTGCAATGCCCCTATCTACTCGGTAGACTGCAATGCACTGGTTCATTGCTTAAAATTAATTCGTATGCTCCTGACACATGCATCAAATTGTGCGTGTATGATAATATTTACAATTTGCATTCGTTGAATGAATTAGACTCATGTACCGTACCCCCCTGCAACCACGAGAATCAAATTGTGGCGATTCATCGAGTTGCCAGGAAATTCACCGAGTTGGAAATTACATGCCTACGATCTACCAATAATTATAAAATGCTCGATTTGCGTATGGGTGGAGTGTTGGTGCTGTGGTTTCACGCGCTGTGCTATGCAACCAGTGACCAGAGTTTGATTCCCAAGACACGGCTAACATCAGTAACATCAACGGCATGTGATATCTGAACCCATCTTGAGCCTC